CCCAACGAATGCTATCCCTGTCAGGTTATGGGGCGGGTGATTGGTTAAATGCAGTGCCAATTCACCAATCGCTTCGGCTCGACGCTCCTCATTATGCCAACGCCCTCCGGTTCCGGCTAGGGCTCCCCTTTGCTGCTCCGGGGGTGTGCAACTGCACGAAGAAGGTCGAGATCTTGGATAAGCGGCTGCCCAATCACCTGCTGCGGTGCGGAACAGGGGGGGGACGCACGAACACGCACAATGAGCTCAGGGACGAGTGCGCGCGAATGGCGAGGGACGCTGGCTTCATGGTGCACCTGGAATCAGCCGCCTTCAGCCCCGTGGAAGGAAAGAAGGCCGACCTAGCCCTCCAAGACCGCACTACTAGCGCTGTCTACATCTGCGATGTGACTGTAACGGATCCGATTAGCACCCGGGATGAGAATGCAACCAGAGGGCGAGGATGGGCAGCACGGGAGGCCGCGGATAAAAAGCACGGCCTCTACAAGGACCGCCCGGAGGGGGTCAAGTTCTTCCCCCTCGCGGTCGAAACGTACGGGTGCCCTTGCCCCGAGACAGTGGACTTCCTGAAGCTACTTGCAGAATCGGCCGCACGGCGGTTTTTCAACGCCGAGCCTACCTCCTACCAAGCTGCCAAGCTCTTACACCAATACAGGCAGCGGTGGTCGGTGGCTCTTCAAAGGGGGCAGTCAGTCGGGTACCAAGAGAAATGCAACCTCGCGGCAGCAGTTGAAAACCCGCTGCTTGAGGCGGTAGGAGAGGCCCCGTCACTTGGGGATTGCCTCACATTTCTGGACCCCACCCTGGATCTCCCCTAGAGGGAATCACCGGGGGGGGGTGAGGGGGGGGGAGGGAGCGTTGCAAGAAGAGTAGGAGGCTTTGATTTGTGTCGACTGTTGCATGCCAATACCACTACCTTGCATGTGTGTACTCCACGATTATCAATGAAAGGGCCATTAGAGAGAGAAAGAGTGAGTGTGGGGGGGTGCGTGCGTGCGTGTGTGTGTATGTGCGCGCGCGCGTGTGTGTGTGTGTGTGTGTGCGCGCGCGCGCGCGCGCGTGCGTGTGTGTGTGTGTGTGTGTGTGTTTTTTTGTTTTTTTTTTTTTTTAATGATTTTTTTTTTTTTAGGGGGCTAAAAACGACTATGCGTGGATGGGTGGATGGGTGGTATGACATATATGGATGGCCTCGTTTTGAGTTGACTCAAAACTATGGGTGGGTGGGCGGTGTGACATATATGGATGGCCTCGTTTGAGTTGACTCAAAACTATGGGTGGGTGGGCGGTGTGACATATATGGATGGCCTCAACAACCGATCGCAAAAAAGGCATCGATCACGGTGCGTTGAATGATGGGATGTGTGCAATTTGAACTTGTACGAAATAGATCAGGAGACAAGAAGGGGAAGAGGAAGAGGAAGGGGAAGAGGGAGGGGAAGAACCAGAGAAAGATAAAGAGGAGGGGAGGGGAAAGGGCAGCAAGGGTTCGCATTAGGGTGTGGGAGGGAAAGAAAAGGGGGGGGGGGGGGGGGGGGGGGGGGGAGGGAAGTGGAGATAAGAGGAGGGGAGGGGACAGGAAAAAACGAGAAATTACAGGATAGCAGAGGGAGAGGAGAGGAAGAGAAAGAGGACGTGAGGGAGAGAAGAGCATTTCTTTTGAGTAGACTCAAAAATATAAACAGAGAAAGAGAAAGAGTAAGTGGAGGTGTTAAGAGGAAAGTGAGGGAGAGAGCGGGGAAGAAAAGGTCGGGGAGGGGGGGGAGGGGGGGGAGGCAGGGTAACATGCCTTGGAGAAGAAGATGGTTTGAGCCGCCACTGATGTGAGTGAGGTGATCAACTACTCGAAATGCCTGATATAGTGAAAAGGGTGGGCAGGGGGTAGGCGGGTAGGTAGTTTTGAGAAGTGTCAAGAGGCCACTGCTGTGAGGTGTTCAACCACTCGAATGGTCTGATCTGATGTATGGATGGATGGGGGGGGTAGAGGGGCGGGGTGTGATAAGACGATTTTTGAGTCGACTCAAAAATCGACTTATCACTCAAGAGGCCACTGCTGTGAGGTGATCAACCACTCGAATGGTCTGGTCTGATGCATGCATGGATGGGGGGGTAGAGTGGCGGGGGAGGGGACCGGAGGAGAGGGAAAGAAGTGGGGGGTTAGGGAGAAGAGCAGAGCAGAAGCATGCATTGGAGAAGCATGCATTGGAGAAGCATGCATTGGAGAAGGAAACGATTTCAGCCACTACCGCTGTGCTGTGAGGTGATCAACCATTCGAATGGTCTGATCTGATGTAGAGAAAAGGGGGGTAGGTTTTGGGCAGGGGGTAGGTGAGCGCACAGCAGGTGGGCAACTAGGCAGGAGAAAGATGGGTGGGCAGCTGATAGGCGAGAGGGCAAGTTTGAGAATCGATTTTTGAGTCGACTCAAAAAACGACTCAGCAGGTGGGTAAGTAGGCAGGAGCAAGATGGGTGGGCAGCTGATACGCGAGAGGGCAAGTTTGAGAATCCGCTCCGCACTCATCCCATGTGTGCTGTTCGTGTGTGATGAGTCAAGTTTTGAGTCGACTCAAAGCTCGCCTAATCCGCTCCGCACTCACCCCATGTGCGCTCTTCCCCTTCCAAACTTCCCCTTTTGCGCTTCCCCCTCTGAAATCCCCCCGCTACGCTCTCCCCACCACACTCTCCGCTGTTCGTACATCAACCCAAGTAGCCCTATTGGTTTGCCCTACCGTCCCTCTGAACGTCCCACTCTCTGCACATCCTGAGTAGCTCTAATGGCAGGCAGACTAGGTTGACTTTTGAGGTGCCTCAAGAGTCAACCCGAGTAGCTCTAATGGCAGGCAGACTAGGTTGACTTTTGAGGCGCCTCAAGAGTCAACCCGAGTAGCTCTAATGGCAGGCAGACTAGGTTGACTTTTGAGGCGCCTCAAGAGTCAACCCGAGTAGCTCTAATGGCAGGCAGACTAGGTTGACTTTTGAGGCGCCTCAAGAGTCAACCCGAGTAGCTCTAATGGCAGGCAGACTAGGTTGACTTTTGAGGCGCCTCAAGAGTCAACCCGAGTAGCTCTAATGGCAGGCATACTACGACACGCGTGGGAGGCTGTAAGGCAGTCCAGGCACACTCGCTGCTCTCGAAGGTGAGCAGGATGTAGACCGTTTTTGTGAAAGCGACAGAATATTTTGCGAGCGAGACCGTTTTCGCACGCTCACCTCTTCGTCCATTAGGCCGGCGTAACCCGCATAGCCGGCAAAGAGCTGCGCGTCGCACGCGCGGAAAATTCGCACGATTTCGTCCGGAGACCGACGTCTATCGTGGAGGAAATCTCATTCGGTCGCTCTGTGAGAGAGCTCGTAGGACCTCACTCGCGACAGCGACAGCGAATGCGACATCGTATGCGACTGCGAATGCGAATGCGACTGTCGATGTGGCAACGGTGCGACTCTTGCCTGGCAGGGACAATTCTTGTACCTCGAGTCTCCAGCTACACCTCGTTCCTTCCTAATACTTCCCTAAAAGGCATCTCAATACCGCTCTATAATCTAAATTGTCAGTTCGCGTCTAACGCAATCACTCATAACACTCGTACAGTGTCCGGGCCTGCTGCTGCTCCCATCGTTTTCATTCCACCCGCTCATCCATTTCGATTCGAACCAGCATATGATCAAGGCGTGGAACATCTGCATAGAATATAAAAGTCCAGACTGCTCTGATTCTTGGGGTTCTTTCCAAAAGTTATGACGAATGGAACGAAAGTTTCCAAAGTTTCACGAACAGCTATGACGAATTGAACGAAACAGGTAACCATGTCCAAATTCAAGTGCTGTCCCGAACAGCGAGAAAGAGAGACCACGCCTTAGGGAACGAGCAGAGCAAAACGAACGAGTAGAACTGGGTCACTTCGTCAGATGAACTTCCCCTCGCTAGAACTCCCGTCGAGTAGCTTTCCTGCAGACAGATTTGTTCATCAGCAACCACCACAGAAAGCTCGTTACTAGTGTCAGTCTTATACAATCCAGAAGCCATGTCTCCCTCCTACATCAACACACTGACAGATGACCTCCTCGTCAGGATCCTCTGGTTTTCTCAAAAGCACGTCCCCGCTCGCCGTCAATCCGAAAACCGGAGTGATCCAATGGATATCATCGTGTCTCGACCTAGGTATACCTCCGAAAACCCGTACGGCGATGATCTCAACACCTCCGATGGCTCTTCCGGACCGTCACCCCTGCAGCGGAACAGAGACAATGCTCTTACCGTGCCAGCTCCTGCAACTATTGCTACTTATTCTCCGTTTTTAGCTCCTAACGCGCTCACAGATACGGCATATAATCTCCGCATCGCTTCCGTTTGCACGCGCTGGCGTCGCCTGGCTCGCCAGCACGTCTCCATGCTCGTCGTGAAGAAAAATGTTGCCGTTTCGCTGCAAGATCTCACCGCAGCCGTCAAGTGCTTCCCGAACCTCTCGCATCTGCATCTCAGTGACAACAGCGTCGATACCATCAACGACGCGTTTTTAGATTTCCTCGCTTCGTCATGCCCTAATCTGGTGTCGCTGCACGTGGGGAGGGATATCACGTCGAAGTGGGGTTGGCAACGGCCGAAAGAGCATCCAGTGACCGACACCGGTTTGGACCGATTCATCCGCCGCTGCACCCAACTGCAGCACCTCTCGCTCTACTGCCTGCATTACTACGGCGCGCTTCCGGATTCTCTCTCGCTCCTCACCAACCTTCACACCCTCGCCCTCACCGAAGGGTCTCCTCTCGACGCTCCAGGGTTCACAAACCTGACTTCTCTCACCGCGCTCTCCGTCGGTATTCCCGATCGGGACGATGTGAATCTCGCGAGCCTCGCGCATCTCCCAGCCGTCTCCACCCTCGTTCTATTCGACAACAAATGTCTCGATCTAGGAGACCGCGGCTACTCCCACCCTTTTTCATTCGCCCAGATGCCGTCGCTGAAAGCCCTGGAGTTCGAGAGGTGGAGTCCGCAATTCGAGTTGATGTTTCCGCCAGGAACTTCTTTCAGTCGTCTCGAGCGGTTACTTATCACAGGCTGTGAAAGCCTTGAGCGACTTCCTGACGACATTGGCGAACGACTGCCACGCCTTCGCGAGCTGAGCTTCTGCGAGTGCAAAAAACTCCGGCTGCCCGAACAGTTCACTTCTCTAAGCTGCCTACAGCAGCTGACAATTTCCTCATGCGGCTTGGGCAGCCTGCCCGAAAACTTTGGAAATCTGCCTGCTCTGAAGACGCTGACGCTGAGTCGCCTGCCACTCTCGAGCCTTCCGGATTCGCTCTACCTGCTGACGTCACTGGTAACCCTCTGCATCTCTCACTGCAACGGATTTAACGAGCTTCCTGAAAGGTTTGCTTTCCTCATCGCGCTCAACCCCGTAAGCATCCCCAACTCGCTGTACCTGACGCTCCCAGAGGACATAGGCTCACTCACCAATCTCCAAACCTTCCGCCTATCAGAATACTTCTCCCAGCAGCTGCTTCCATCCTCCTTCACGCAGCTTTCTTCCCTCACAAGGCTCGAGCTCTCGGAGTGTATGGTAGCAGAGCTTCCAGGGGAGTTGGGGAAGCTGACTAACCTCCGCGTACTGACCCTCCAGGCCTGTCCTAGTTTACAGGAGCTTCCTCAGTCTCTCACCGACCTCATCGGCCTAGAAGTTCTGAAAGTTGTAGACTGTGACATCCTCGCTTCAATCCCCACCAGCTTTAGCAACTTTACAAGACTGAGAAATCTAGCACTGATCAAGCTTCCCCAGCTAGCACAAGTATCGGGATCCCTGCCCTGTTCCCTTGAGCTTCTTTCCCTGGGGAACTTTAATGGTTTCCTCTGTTGGAAACATCCGCACTGCCGAAGCTGAGAGGAATGAGCTTAACCAGTGCAGGGCCTATTGGTGGGCTGGCCGCTGGCTTGACTCTGCCCTCTCTAGTGCACTTGCAGCTGGTGCTGATTGGAGAGGCAGAGGAGTTCCCCTTTGCCGCTGGAACTCTTTTCTAATCTCCGCAGCTTGATCGTCTGCAATGCTGCTTGCATGGAGAAGCTTCCGGAAGGGTTTGGTTCGGCGTTGCGGGTTGAGGCGGCTGGAGATCCGCCGGGCTGAGGAGTTAACGGAGCTGCCAGAGAGCTTTACAGAGCTTTGATCGCTGACATCCATTGTGATCCATGCACCTGAGCTTTCATCTCTTCCAGACGGCATTGGGGCTCTATCCCAGCTGCGCCAGCTAAATCTTGAAGAGTGCTCATCCCTCACCCTGCTCCCTGCTTCTCTCACCCGGCTTTCCTGCCTTCATGAGCTGAACCTCAGCTGCACCGCCATACGCTCCCTGCCTTGCCACTTTGGACAGCTGAGCCGACTGAAGAAACTTAACCTGGATGGATGCGAGGACTTGGCTGCTTTGCCTGAGGATTTTACCCAGCTCAAGATGCTTCACAGCTTGAGTGTTAAAGGGTGTGGCGAGATTGTATCTGAAGGTGTGCGAGATATGCATGGGTTGCAGGTACATACCACTGATTTCGATGAGGATGAGGATCCTTTTTAGGCTTGCCTTTCTGATCTATGTATCCAATGTTTACGCACACTTAAGATTTGTGATCGTATGGAGACATTTCTGACATTTGTTCTGATATCTGACATACCAGTGTACAGTAGTCCATTCATGGAAGGACGCATCACAACAATACTAGCGAAGTACTACCACCACAACTTCTTGAGGACATGGGGAAGCTGACTAACCCGAGGACTGTCAGAGGTCCACTGGGGATCCCCGATGATCCTAGGGAAGGGTTACAGGCACGTCGGCCTGGGGGGTTATGGGCGCACTCACCCGCTATATAAACAAGCCCTTTTATCCCAGTGGTTAGTGACTGGGATTCTGACATGGTATCAGAGCGAAGGTCTCGGGTTCGATTCCCGGTGTGTGCACTTCGGGCATCCCAGTGCGGGGGGGTGTCAGAGGTCCACTGGGGATCCCCGATGATCCTAGGGAAGGGTTACAGGCACGTCGGCCTGGGGGGTTATGGGCGCACTCACCCGCTATATAAACAAGCCCTTTTATCCCAGTGGTTAGTGACTGGGATTCTGACAAGGACTTCATCATCCAACCAAATATGCTGGAAGATTTCCATGCTTCCAGTCCAGGCTCTCTCATCCCAAGCTTCCAGTCCAGGCTCTCTTGAACCTGTCAGCCAGGCCATTAGGTGGTTTCAATGTGAATGGAATATCTCAGCAAGAACATACGGTACCAGTGCTAGGTGCCCTCCCTGAGTGCCAGTCCCCCAAATCGTTGGATCGCAAGCACGCTGCGTTCGAAAAGTGGTTTGCAACAAAATACATTTTTCTTGTTTTGTTTGTTTGTCTAGCAGATGTTTCGAGGAAATGGTCCCTGTTCGTCGTGCGGTGCCACTCTTGTAAACCCGTATTTCCCCACTGACATCTCCATGTAGCCATTTTGGGCCCTTGTTTCTGAGACTATGGTGATCAGAGCACCACATTTTATGCAAAATCCCAATCCCCATTCATCCCTTCACGGCTTCTTGATCTTGGAAAAGGTTCCTGTTTCTGAGAAGTAGGTGCTTTGTGTGCCACTCCCCAGGTGAGACATCTGTGCTGCTTGCGGGTTGGTCAGCTCTATGCCCTGTGGTGGGGACAGCAATAAGGGGGATGGAATTGACACAAGATTAATGAACAACCAAAGAAAACGAAGTGCTTTGCGTGCCCCTTCCGAGGTGAGACATCTGTGCTGCTTGCGGCTTGGTCAGCTCTATGCCCAGTGGCGGGGACAGCAATAAAGGGGATGGGATGGGACTGGATGGGAGGGGGCGATACAAGTCGAGGCGTTACAAAATTAGACCCTGGAAGTAGGGTGTGAGTATGGAGTCACGTGTATGAAGATTTGTTTTGAGACGTCTCTTAACAAATCTTCATACCCCTGGAAGTAGGGTGAGTATGGAGTCGTCTCAACACAGTTGGATGCTGGAAGTAGGGCGAGAACAAACCAATGGCTCTTGAGACCCAATGGCTGAGCAGAAGAGATAATGCCTTGTTGCCTTAATGCCTTGAATGGAATGCTGGGTCTTTCTTTGACGTGACTCGGCTACCAAGGCAACAACAACCACACACTGACGACACTCCACCGTACCATGAACGAGAAATGCTTTGCAGTGTTCAGGACACACTGACTCCCTACAAGGCAACAACCACACACACTGACGACACTCCACCATACGTTTTGAGTCGACTCAAAACACACACTGACGACACTCCACCGTACCTGGATGGGCGTGAAGGCAAGAGACGAAGAGAGACCCGACGTGTTGCCACTGCTGCCGTAGCTTCGCTCCTTGAACCTGAGAATGGATGTGTGGGGAATGAGGCGGAATAGAACAGGTGGAATTGAGTGGGTAATTCTCATGCATGGCCACCCCACCTTGACCTTCACTCATACTCTTAGTGCAGCCACTCTCAGCATCTCAAAAACAGACTTACCCATACAAGAAAGGGTTACCGCACTGCACCCCTTGAGACCAGTCAGACTCACTTCTTGGCGACCTTGCTCTTGAGGTTGCTGGCAGCAGCAGCCACTCTCAGCCGCCCCGATCCTGCCTGCCCCAGCATACCGGATTCCTCGCCCAGCCCGTCCCCCAGTGTCTCAATCGCTCCATGCCCCACCCATCTGTACCGCACTGCACCCAGACACTCACTTCTTGGCGACCTTGGTCTTGAGGTTGCTGGCAGCAGCAGCCACCCTGAGCCGCCCCGACCCCGCCTGCCCCAGCATGCCGTACCCCTCGCCCAGCCCGTCCCCCAGCGTCGACTGCTCCTCCACGCCAAACTGCATCCGATTCGCCAGCTTTCTCATGTCCGTGATGCCGTACCTGTAGTTGGAAAGGGGTGGGGATGGGTGGAGCATGGTAGGATATACTAGAAGGTGAGCCAAGTCCCCAGCATGCCGTACCCCTCGCCCAGCCCGTCCCGTCCCCCAGCGTCAATCGCTCCTCGACAGGAAACTGCTTTCTCATGTCTGCGATGCCGTAGCTGTGGGTCAGGGTTAGAGGGGGATGGAAGAACAAGGAGACGGGCAGAAATGGTTGGCGGGGAATGGGTGAGGAAGGCGAGTGATGGGTGGTGAGGTCCAAGGAGGTAAGGCAGCATGCCAGCATGCGCGCACAACCCCACACACACACAGCCCCTCACTCTCTCACTCCCTCCCTCACTCCCTCACTCCCTCCCTCACTCCCTCCCTCACTCCCTCCCTCACTCCCTCACCCACTCCCAGCCTCACCGCTCCTTCATCTTCCTCAGCCGTCGTCCCCCGCGCCTCTTCTTCGGTTCAGCATCAGGCACCGGCAGCGGCTTGGGCTGCTTCGCGGGGGGCGGCTCCTGCCACTTGTCAATCTTCCTCTCCATCTCCGCCCGCAGGCCCCGCCCCGCTCCCCCGCTCAGATCCCCGTGAGTCGCGTCTACCCGCGCTGCCAAGGCGCATTTCCCCGCAACCAGGCGGGTTGCGCGCATGCGGAGGGGAGGAGGGGTGGCCTGGACGACTTCGCAGTGGAAGAGGAAGCCAGTGTGGGGGAGGGAGGTGGCCGTGGAAAAACCTGATAGGGTCTTGCGCTTTGATCCCAGGACCTGACAGCAAGAGAGAGGAGACAAGAGAGAAAGATTTTAGCAAGACAAGGAGGGGAGGAGGGGTGGCCTGGACGACTTCGCAGTGGAAGAGGAAGCCGGTGTGGGGGAGGGAGGTGGCGGTGGAAAAGCCTGATAGGGTCTTGCGCTTTGATCCCAGGACCTGCCAGTGAAAGGGAGATACAAGGAGAGAGAGATTTGAGTAAGACAAGGGGGGGAGGGGTGGCTTGGACGACTTCACAGTGGAAGAGAAAACCATTGTGGGCGAGGGAGGTGGCGGTGGAAAAACACCATAGGGTCTTGCGCTTTGATCCCAGGACCTGTAAATGTGTGGAACGCGGGAGAGAGTGGACAAGGGGGAGGCGTGGCTTGGAAGAGGAAGCCTGTGTGGGGGAGGGAGGTGGTGGTGGAAAAACCCGATAGGGTCTTCCATTTGCTGCCAAGCACCTGGAAGAGGAAGTGGAAGAAGAGAGAGCATGGAAGCAGCGAGCGAGAGAGAGTGTGAGAGAATATGAGAGAGTGTGAGAGAGTGTGAGAGAGTGTGAGAGTGTGTGAGAGAGTGTGAGAGAAGAGAGCTTTCAACCAACCAGGACAGTGAGAGAAGAGAGCTTTCAACCAACCAGGACCATACCCAAACAGGGCATATTGCGAACACCCACTACGATATTCATCACACACACATAGCAAACGCACCTGAATGTTACATGCAGGCCAGCGTCATGAGCCCCCCTGCCACGCCCACCAGCTTGGCAAACCCTATCATATAAGCTCTGCATGCTCACTCTCTCACGTGTTGCTCACACATAACACGCACCTGGATGTTGCATGCAGGCATGGAAGCTAAGGCCATGAGGCCCCCTGCCACGCCCACTAGCTGGGCTGCTATCGCTGAGCCAACCACCGCCGACAGGTTCGGCGCCAAGCCTCCCATCCTGCTCTCCACAAACCTGGGAAAGAGAGAAAGATGATCGAAGAAAAGAAGGTGTTTTGCTAAACGAGTCCTCTGAAAATACACTTGTTGAGTTTGGGTGGGTAGAGATACATCAAGACACCAACGCAAGCAACCACTCGAGACGGAAATCACTCACCTGAGCACCTTCTTCTTGGCACGTCAAACGCCAGGGCCCTGTCACACGCCTCCATCGTCCTCCCTAACCAACATGTGTCTTTGAGTTGACTTGTGCAAAAACACCAAAGACTCGAGACGGAAATCACTCACTCACCTGAGCACCTTCTTTTTGGCATCGTCCGAAGCCAAGGCCCTACCACACGCCTTCATCCATCTTCGTTTGCAGGCAACTCAAACACAGACACAGAACGGCTCAGCATACCTTTCCCACTACAGATAGAACCACACAGCCGCTCACTTGAACACTTGATTCTTTGCATCATCAACAACCATCATCCTCTGCAGTGCGTCGTGTTGAGGCACACATGACACATAATCCTTGGAAAAACAGCATAGCCACGTCCCCCTTACCTGAGCACCTTCTTCTTTGAGGCGCCTCAAAAGTCATCCTCTGCAGTGCGTCGTGTTGAGGCACATATGAAGCATAATCCTTGGAAAAACAACACAGCCACTAAAAACGTCCCCCTTACCTGAGCACCTTCTTCTTGGCATCATCCAAAGCCAAGGCCCTGTCACACGCCTCCATCGTCCTCTGCAGAGCGTCGTCCGGCAACGGCCGTCCTGTAGTGGTGGAGGCGGTAACCGACACCACCATGATCGTCGCGGACGGCAGCAGCCCTTCGAGATCCACAACCGTCAGATCCATCTCATTGCCGATCCGACGGACCACGCGCGCGTAATCGATCGGGTGCAGCACCAAAGACTCGAGCTCCGGGAATTTAAGGCGGTAATTGTCCCTAATGAAGTTATGCACTATGGTTATTTCGTTATCAATATCCACAGCCAGCCCGTTACAATCCACAATTAGTTGATACTCTGATTCGTCCATTGGTACTGCAGCAGCTGCAGCAACAGGAGTAGAACCGGCTGTAGCAGCAGCAGAAGAAGGGGTAGTGGTGGTGGCGGAGGGAGGGGCGAGGCCTGCTGCTACAGCTGCTGCAGATGCTGATGCTGCAGACACAGGGGGAGTTGATCCCTGCTGCTCTTTACTCTTCTCTTCGCTCTGCTCTTGCTCTTGGATTTGCTGTTCGGTTTTCGGTTCACTTCCCTCCTCTTCTGCATTAGTGGCGAGTTGAGCATCGGAAGCTTCCAATGCAGCTTCCACCCTCTGGTGAAGGTGGAAGAGAGAGTATACAGGAGAAGGGGCGCAAAGGATGTGAAGCGGGAAGAAAGAAACACGTCACTTGCCCCATCCACCCACTCACAGCTACATATCAACCAACCAATCCCAGCCCCAAGTATATCACTCTCGAGCTTAGTCGGCGTTCAAGAGGAGGCCCCGTCGCTTGCTGCGGTTCTAATCCAACAATCCCTCGGCAGCAAAAATCCTAACCTACCCCGCCCAGCACCACCACCTACTCTCCACAACCACCACTCGCCCAGTCCACCTACCCACCCACCCACCCGCTGCCCGCATCATGTCATGTCAACGTATTTTGAGACGTCTCAAAACCCACCACTCGCACAACCCAACCTACCCACCCACCCACCCGCATCATGTCAACATATCTCGCAGACTTCTGCAGCTTGGCCACCGCATCCAAATCGTCATGATTGGGCTGACCACCTCTAACCGCACTCTACCCAGCCCCACCCCTGGACGTATCGAGCCATTCTGTCTCTTATCACACTCACTCGGCGACCCATCCCCCCACCCACCCGCATCATGTCGACGTATCAATCAAGTCTGCAATTTGGCGACCGCATTAAGGTCCTCGCAGTTGGCTGACCTGAGCGCCTCTATTACCTTTCCACCCATACACCGAACCCCGTCTCTGCTTCTCACCGCACTTAAACAACTCTCCACCACGCCCAACCCATCCCGCTTCTCCCACCCACCTGCACCATTTCGATGTATCGTGCAGACTTCTGCAGCTTGGCCACCACATCCAAATCATCATAGTTGAGCCAAGCAGCACTGTCCCACCACACCACACCCAACCCATCCCTCCCAACCCCTCCTAATCCACTCTCCACTGCCCACCACCCCACTCCACCCCTCCACCCACCCGCATCATGTCGATGTATCTCGCAGACTTCTGCAGCTTCGCCACCGCATCCAAATCATCATAGTTGAGAGCTTCCAGATCCATCGTCTCTTCCTCCTCTTCCTCATCCGATCCCTCATCCGCTCCCCCACCAGCACCGGGCTCCTGTAGCAGTTGAAAATACAGGGAGAGCAGAGCAGGTGAGTGAAAGAAAATCAGAACCACAGCATCCACGTCGTCATGGTTGAAAGTTTTCAGATCCATCGTTTCTCCCTCCTCCTCCTCGCCATCCGACCCTTCCTCCACCCCTTCGCCAGCATCAGGCTCCTGCAGCAAGAGACGAGAGTGGGAGCAGAGCACGTGAGTGAGAATCAGAACCACCAAATCCAGATCCCTCCTCCAGGTCCTATGTCTCCCCCTCTTCATCATCTGTTCTCTCCTCTACCTTTCCGCCAGCAGGCTCCATTGTTCCTCCTCGTTGTCATCCGATCCCTCATGCAACCCCCCTCCAGCACAGGCCTCCTGCAGAAACAGAAGAGAGCGAGTGCGCGGTGTGGTGCGGTGCAGGGCGGTGCATGCCGGATATGCCACCTGAGCTGAGATGCCTCTTCCTTGTCATTGTCAGAGAGGTCATCTAGATCCGCTTTGGCATGTCTCACTAAAAATAATGGTGCATAAATTCAAGTTTTACTAACTTTTAATAAACCAGCTGACTGACAAACCCATGGGTTATGAACCCACCAATGACGAATCCACAGATGACGAACCTACACTATGGGTTCCTTCAAATGACCTCCTCTGAACGCCACACCTGACTGAACCTACCTGAGGCGCCTCTTCATTGTCTGAAAGGTCGTCTAAATCCGCCAGGAAATAATCCTCCGGGCGATACATTCACTGAACCTTCCTTCCACTCACCACCTCCAAACCGCATCTGACCGAACTGAGCCCACCTGAGGCGCCTCTTCATTGTCGGAGAGGTCGTCTAGATCCGCCAAAAAGGAATCCGCTAGCGTTGCTGCCTGTGAGCGAGGAGGGAGGGGGTGGGAGACGGTAAGACCGTAAGCCAGTGAAATGGAACATCGTTCTTTAAGACAACTGCCAGTCAAACACATTCGGGTCCCGCGGCAAGAACCAAAGCAACCCTTGAACCTTTTCAGAACGCGTTTCACAAGATAAAATGGCACAAAAAGGATAATCTGCGGACAACGCGGCAAGGGTCGCTTGTCGAAAGCGAACGTGAGAGGGGAGAAAATATTGGACGGTAATTCGGTATAGTCCTAACGTGTTTTAAAACACCCTCTCTCCACGCGTGACAATGCGCTCCTTATCCCCGCTAGACAACACGTACTTCGTTATAAGATTGTTAGAAACATAATCCGCTGGCTCACCATGATTGGAAGGTACACTGAACCTTCTCGAGAACAAACACGAACTTTGCCGTAGTTTCGTGCAGGAGCACCGGGGAAAGCGTGATCCTGATCGAACCGCGCTGTGGTCGAACCTAATTAAACCGGAACAGACGACTATTTTGGGGAAAAAGATGAGTACGATAGTGCGGCTCGGATGAGTATGACCAAGTCCCTGATAAGTAAGCGGAAAATCTCCCTGACAAGCCAAATCTCAGGATGATCAGAGCCAAGGTTGCGAAAGGACTGGGGCGCCGCGAGGGAGAAAACGAGAGCGAAGGTGCACCAGAAAGGAGGAGAGATTTGAGGGCCGGATAGCGTTTCTGCGAGAAATAGAAAGCAAGGTTCCGTTGCTCAGATTCTGTGTCAGAAATCATCCCTTTCAAACATCACTCGGAAACCTCCCTGGACAAGAAACTGAGAGGACGTACGCGTTGCAATGCCACACCTGACGGGTTAAAGGGTTTCTGGCGTAATAAGGTACAAATGATAAAACATCATTAATACATGTAAGTTTGGCCCTCAAACAATTCGAGCCAGACATACAAGAATACCGACTGTTGGGAGATGGGAGCAACTATTCATCCGGCCAGGATACCATTAGAGAAGTGTCGGATGGCGATATTGCCGGTCCAGGAGGCACGAGTCGAGCGGGGCCTAGTTTATTAAGGTAAACTACCTTGTTTCCTTAAAAATCAGGCTGGATTTAAGGACTGATATTTTACGGTGTAAGCCGACATAACTATTTACTGGACACGGTGACCGTGGTTTGGGGATATTGTATAACAATCTGTGAGTATAGTACAACATGAGCTAGGAATCTGTTATATTGGTACTTAGTGTACCTCATCTACTATCATATTAGCTTGTTAGCTGTACGTGTCCAGTCACTGATGTTGTACCCCATGTAGCACAATCCGGTTGCTGTCGTAGATGTCTGGAACAGCAACTACACTCCACTTGAATCTGCTTGCTGCTTGTCGTCCAGGAGAAATATCACTCGAAAAGGACCTTATGGCTGCAGCATTGGCAGAAGCAGTATCACCAGCAGCAGCAGAACCAGTTGCAGCAGCAGGAGAGGCAGCAACACTGTTAACAGCAACCTGTGGATGGACTTCGTTGCTGCTGCTGCTGCTGCTGCTGTGGGTAGAGTCGATACCATCCTGATTCCATTGATGCTGCTTGTGCTTGCCTTTCATGTGAGCATGCATGTGCCCATGCACGTGTACATGCACATTGGCATGTGTATATGGATCTGTATTTTCATCAATGTGCCCTTGCTTGTGAATCAGCACCATGGGGCTCTCGGCACTGGGAGGGGTCAGGCGGGTTACATGGTTACCACCATGCAGCATAGGCATCTGCAGGCAACAAAATACAAAAGGGGGCGCAACAGACAGGCTCGGAGTAAATTCAGCTTCTTGATGCCACACAGATGCTTTTTTTTTTTTTTAAGGCGCCTCAAATATGTCTTGGGATCACTTTTAAGAATTCCCATAAGTGGTTTTGAAGACAGAAGTGGGAGTGCAACACACGGACTCAGAATGAATTACCTTCTTCAAGCCACCCAGGGCGTGCCTCTTTGATTCGCTGGACAACTTCCCAGTCTTCCCCAGCCCAGTCTTCTCCTGCCCTCTCTTCACCTGCCCGGTCCTCACCTGCCCAGTCCTCACCTGCCCGGTCCTCACCTGCCCGGTCCTCACCTGCCCAGTCCTCACCTGCCCGGTCCTCACCTGCCCAGTCCTCACCTGCCCGGTCCTCACCTGCCCAGTCACCTGCCCAGTCCTCACGGCTCTCATAGTTCCATGGCAATGCGCGGCCAGCAGTAGGTGCGCCCTTCCCTGACAGATAAAGCCCAGTAGAACCCACAAAGCCCACCTCATTCTCTCACCTTCTGTCTTCCCTAAAGTCGCTCCCAGCAAGTGAATGTCTAATATATATATATATATATATATATGAACCTCTCCCTTTCCAGCTTCTCTTAGTGACTTTACCGCGTTTCGATTTTTCCGTGGCAACTCTCTCACCTTTCAGCTTCCCTTGGCTGCTCGCCTCGCCGCATGCCAGTGCGCGCCCGCCATCAGATGCGCCCGTCCCTGCCCCAGTTAAAGCCCCAGTTACGCCCCCTCGGCCCTGAGATCTTCATGTCAGTTTCTCACCTTCCAGCTTCCACTGGCCGCTCGCATTGCATCGTGACAATGCGCGCCCGCCATCAGATGCGCCGACAGGAAATCCGCCACTCCTCTGCTTCCCGCCACGTCACCCCTTCCTGCCTCGTCACCACTTGCTGCCACGTCACTGGCCTTATCCTCTTCGTCCACGTCATCCTCGTGCCCCATGGGCCGCTCGTTCTTTGCTGCTTCTGATAGGCCACGACCCTCCCTTGCTGCAGCAGTTGCAGCCATGGCAGCTGTAGCAGCAATTGTAGCCTCGAATTTGGATAGCACGGAAGGGTGAAAGCACTCGTCGGTCGGCACGAGCAACGTGATTGGCTGTCCCGCTAGTAGCGGCGCCACTAACGCGGATGCGATCTCGTCTGCAAAAGGTCGGGGGTAAAAAAAGGGGAAGGCAGTGGGGGGGGGGGGGGGGGGGGGGGGGGAAGACAGTCGGGTGCAGACAATGTTGGCGGAAAAAATGTGTGGGGGAAAGGGGGAAGAGGGAGGAGGATGAGGGGGGAAGAGCGGAAGAGAGCGAGGAACACTCGATAGTTGGTGCGCGCATTGCTGTTGACCATCCCTCTGACTCCGGAGTGACTTGCGAGTCGGTTCAAAGTCCCGCAGTGCGGTTGGTCGGCCCTTAAGAAAAGGAGCATTTTGCGCGCTCGCGATTGGACTGCGCAGAGGAGAGGGGGAAACGCCCGGCGGAAGCTGGCAGGGAGGACAGGGAACAAGGGGGAGAAGCTAGTAGGAGGGACGGGGAATAGGGGGGAGAAGCTCGCAGCGGGGACGGGAAATAGATGGGAGACGTGGGTAGGAGGGACGGGAAAGAGGGGGACGAAGCTAGCAGGGGGGCGGGGAAGAGAGGAAGAACTTGGGGGAAAGGGCGAATCGTAGGACTTGTACGAACCGTATCGCTCGTCGAGCAGCTGGCGAAACACGGCGAAGCCTTTCGCAGGCACGTGCGACAACGCGCGACGCACTTCTTCCGCCGCAGCAGCCGCCGCCGCTGCCGCTGCCGCTTCCACCGGCGAGCCGTCCTCGGTTGTAGTAGCGGTGGCCTGCACACTTCCCGCGGAATCCGCCGTCGCAGCCGTCGCCGTTGCTGGCAATACCGCGGCTGCACCGTTCTCGTTCACTAGAGAGTCGAAACCACCGTGCCGGCCAGCTTCAGCTCCGGCGGCGGAGAATAGCAAAATTAGGCAGAGAACGACTCGTGGAGCCACCGGATTGGACGCGAGATGGAAGAACGAGCTGGAGGAAGCTTGCGCCATGGCGACCCCACGACGACACGTGTCAATTTGTGATTAGCGGTTCTGAGGCGCTTTTAACGAAACCCTGGTTCAGAATCGCCCTAGAACAAACCGCCGGCTAGACAGCTGTGAAGCACATACCCCTCACGCGCCCCCACGCGCGCGCACGCGCCGCACGTGCCCGCGCGTCCTCTGATGTAAGCCCGCGTGTCCCTCACATCAAGTGTACAAGGCGGGTGTAATTAGCGCCCTTCTGAATGCTGTGTGTTCGGGAATTTGAGTCTTCCAGAGCACGCAGCGCCAATAATGGTTGTGTGCTCCAGTTGACAGTAACGGGCTTGACGTAAGCGGCGCCAAGCACCTGGAGGAAGTCGTTTTATCCCCTAAATTGTAGGCACCGGTGTGATTTCTCCTGATACTCGTTATTGCTAGCACGGTTATCCTCCTTGGATGGCTATGAACTACGACAGTTTGTAAGCGCCCTTGCAGCGCAGGTGCTAGTAGGGTGAGCGGAAGCAGCTAGCGCGTTGAACTTGACCATCGAAAGTTCTCATTAGTGGTCGTGGAGCAGCTAGCGCGTCGACTTCCGGTAGCAAAGATGACCGACATGGCAACTGCCCGCTGAAACTAATTACGGTATTCAGTAAAACCTGGAACTTCTACCTACATTCGCACGAGGAGGTCAAAAAAGTGGCGTGAATTTGCTGTGGGCTGGCGGACTTAGAAGGCGCAGAATGTTATGCTCGGTTGGAAGAAAGACTGGGATGTTTGCGGGGTTGGACAGACTGAATAGTCATCTAGCCCTACCAGCCTAACCGGCTTACCTGCGAGTATTATCGCTGATTCTAGTAACTCTTTGCGGATCAATGTTGTAATGCATGCTCGTTTATCTTTCCTTTCTCGCGCCGCCCTCAGAACTTGCACGGAGAAAGCTGGCATTCGGTGGGGGCGCTACTAATGCGTGGGCCAGCGGGTGGTCCCGTCGTCTTATGGCTTGCTTCTCTATTCAGGCAGCCTGGGTGTGAGACAAATGCAGGCTGTCATGGATAAATTTTCGCGTCGCGAGTCGGCCGTCTATTCCAAGCTGGCTGCATGCCCACACGACGAATGATTGCGCGCATCGACTCTAGACCAAAATGGTGAGAAGTAGGGGAGATGATGTGTGGTAGAAGGCGTGTGCATTGTGTGACGTGCAATTGTCCATCTTGGGAAGGGTAAGTCTGGAGGGGGCGCTGTCGGCCCACCACCTCTACCGCTGTTCACTTCGAATTGCAGTGGAGATGCTGAAATGTTGACAATGTCAAACATGCCATTACCTTATCGAGTCGCGTGAAGCTGCTCCATTTGCGCGGCGCGCACCGAGCACGTTGGTCCAAACCCGTTCGCCAGCGTCACACGACGGGCACCACGGGCGTGCGCGAAACACGAAGAGCACGTCGGATAACTTCGCTAACCTAAACGGCGCGGGTGGCCACGACGCTTTTCGCGGACTCAAAGCAAGGCACATCCCGTACCTGTCGCCAGGCTTGTCAGGTCCAAGATGGAATTTCGACAAGGGCGACAGACAGAAAATCGTGGAAGTCCGCTAATCTCCATTGTTACACAAGCTAGGAAATGCAGAATAATATGCTGCTTAACATTATAAAAAATATGATGCACCAGAAAGGGATACGGTACCATGATGTTGAAATTAATGATATGCAAACCTGCTGCCAGCCATTACATAAATCCATGTACGTCAGGGCTATTTAAACTATTAAAATCTCATTTGACAAAAGGAGCTGGTATAAGTTGTGTTTGGCTTCTTGCAACTTTCGGTGCGGTGACAAGCGGTTCTCAGCATATTCTTCGAGTGGCCGCGAGATTCAAAGAGGTGATATAGGGTTGGAGATATTGGCCTGAACACTCAGCGCACCGACTTCGGGAGTTGTAACTTGGGCTACTGACTTATCATCGCCGCAGCCAGGTTCTTTGGTGATCCTAGGCCTGCACCGTAGCGTTGCCACGGTTCGCCGATTTGACTGTTCAACCTCGCTACTATTCGACGTCGAATCTCTAATCCCCTAATTACGTTTGTAGATTATGCGCTTCCGTCAGGACTGTTGGTATCATAGTTAGGGTTTGCAAACTGCTTTCACGCCCTGGAGAAGACGTTCGAGATGGACGGTGGGGATTACATATTGAAGGAGACGGACGGCGGCAGGCATCGTTTTCTAGTGGAGCTCGAATTCGTTCAATGCCTGGCGAATCCGAACTACATTCACTGTGAGTCAACCAGGTTGTTGACTAAAGTCAACGTCAGGTATTGACGTGAGGGTTGACCGTGGTCAACGTCCGACGTTGCAATGGAGACGGACGGACTCGCAAGTTCAATGTTGCAGCGCCACCAGGCTTTCTGCGGCACGCGATCACAGACGTTGGACGTGGTTGCTGTGGTTCTAGACTAGAGGCACCTCAAATTGTCGTCAACGGACCAACAGGCTTTTTGCAGCGCGAGATTACAGACGTTGGAGCGCTTCAAGGGACGTGGTTGCGCTAGTTCTAGAGGCACCTCAAATTGTCGTCAACGCACCACCAGGTGTGTTTTGAGTTTGAGTTGACTTAAGCACACCAAGAGTCAACTCAAATCACAAATCACACGTTGGAGTGTTTTAAGGGGCGTGTTTGCTCTGATTCTGAAGGCACCTCAAATAGTCGTCAGCCAAAATCACAGCTGTCCTTTCTGTAGAACAAAATCGCACATGAGAATCTCCTTGAATTTGAGTGTGGAGAATGCTTCTTTGGACGACGCTCCAGTGGCAACAAATGGCATGCAATTAGTCAAGTCATGTCATGCCACGCCAGCATGTAATCATGCAACGTCATGCCACCAAATCATGCAGTCCCATGCCTTGATATCAGGCCATGCCATGACATTATGCCATGCCACCATATTAAACTGCCCATGCCATGACATCAGCCATACCATGCCATACCCAGACTTCAATTGTCTCCTGTGTCATCCCCATGTTGTCTTTCCCCCTTCCCCCTAATCCTCTCTCCACCTCCTCCCCCCCCCCAAAACCCTCATCTCCCCTGTCCCCTCTTCCGCACTCAGCCATACATGTGCGTCAATGTTTTTTTTTTTTAGGCCTCCCGGGTACTGTTTTCTCTTTTTTATCAAGGTTTTGGTTGCATTGTGAACAGAATGCTACTTTTTCAGTTTGCTACAAACCAATCAGTTGCTCCATTCTATCTGCTCCCACTCCATCCATCCCAACTCAGATTATGTCTTCCCATCCCATCGCATGTCATCCCATTACCGTTCCATGCATGTCTGCTGTCATTCGAATCGATCCCGCTTATGCATTTTTCTTACAGTAAAGCATTTACTCTCCCCATCCCATCCCGTCTCCTTCAGACCTCGCACAGAACAAATACTTTGAAGATCCAGCATTCGTCAGTTATATACACTACCTACAGTACTGGCGGAAGCCCCCATATTCAACCTTTATAGTGTATGCTCCAATCCCCTGTGCACATTTCCATATGTTCAGTGCGCACATGAAAACCATACAATGTGGTATCGCTTTGGCAAGATGGTACCTTTTCTTTGTCTGGATTATTACACTCCATTACGTTCACTTTCCCTTTGTCAATATGTCACCATCACTCATCCCCTTCCGTCCTTCCTTCGTTCCTTTGAGTTGTGCGGTTTGAATTGCAAATGCCTGTTATGGTTGGCATGTCATGGAATGGCACGTTGGCATACGTCTATGTATTTTTGGCACTTTATCTCATCTCATCGGCATGTATGGCATGGACATGGAATGGTCTTGGGCCAACAGCTATCCACACTGTCTCTACTTCCTTGAGCTGCTTCAAAGCGAGCACTTCCGCACTGCCATGGCACATCCCGCCAATAAGGTATGTTTATGTAATATATTAAAACCTTGGATACCATGGGCTTGGAATGGGCTTGGGCCAACAGATATCCACACTGCCAACTAGGTATATTGTGAAATCTAATTCGTTTACTGTGCACTTTCTGTTCTGTTGTGCAACACGGTTGGTGAGAGAGTTGCGTCGTATTCTCCTGCCCTTATCAATGTCTTGCTGGTGGTGCAGTTAATCAAACGAGAAACACCAGCATCTTTCCATTGCTCGCACACACTACTTGACTTTTTAACAGTAGTTATCATGCCACTGCATGCCTCAATCTATGTGGCACGTAGCTATTCAGAAGGCGAAAAGCTTCTTTGACGTGTGGCTTAATGACCAAGTAAATTTCTTGTCTCTTCCTCTTCCTCTTTCTCCCTAAACCTGTTCGCTAATCCTTTCATTTCTTTCTCTCCTGCCCTTTTTTCTGCATTTGATGTTCAGGAGCTAGCGCACGGGCAGCAGTTCTATTTCTGGCAGCATTACCGGAACAACCGGCTGAAGATGATGCATCAGCAGAGGCAGCTACAAGCAGCAGGAGAAGGAGAGACAGACACAGAGACAAGCACAGGCGGTCCGCCTCCTCAAGGTGTTGCCACTGCTGCTGGCACAGGTATTACCAGAAGTGGTACAGCTGTAACTTCTGGCAATGCAGCTGTTACAACAGCAACTAATGATGGTGCAGGTGCTACAGCTAATGCTGTCTCCGCTGCCCCAGGAACCCCTGGTGGTGCCTCGTCTCGTCATGCCTCCACGCCTCCCCTTCCTCCTGCCTCTCTGCTGCCTCCCCTGCCTACTGCTGCTCATACTTCCGGGCATTCTGCACCTCATGCCAAGCCTTCTACACCTGGCTCGGGATCTGGTTCAGCAGCAGCAGGTTCGGGCGGGTCCGGCAAAGCAGCAGCGCACGGTGGTCGCACACCTCCCTTAGCACCAGGGTCATCCTCTCGTAATCCCAGTGGTTCTCAACAGGGTGGTGGGAAGCCAGGTGCACGCCGCCCACCTCCCAGCAGCCCTGGGCAGAGACCAGGAGGGGGTGGGGGTGGTGTTGCTGGAGGGACTGGGGGGAGGGTGGTTACGCATGGGACAGCTGCTGGTACACATCCATCTGGCACTGCATCTCCTGGTGGAAATCGGCAAGATCCTGCCACAAGACCAAAGAAACGCAAAGCCCTGCCTCAATAATAAGAAAATGTACTGTAGAAGAGGCACACAGTTTTTTTAACCTCTTGTGAACAAATCGACTTGAAGGGTTACTTTTTTCTGCAATTTTTTCCTACAACTAAGATGCACGAAAGTCATGCACGGGATGGTTACGGTATGATTCCCATTGAGAGCTTCAAAGTGTCCACTGTACTTCCAGTGGAAGCTGGAGGCAGAGTCAAATAAAATAAAATTTTTACGCTCACGAGGCAGAACAATATCACACATAAGCACCACACGTGATGCAAATTCATTCTCCTACAGGTTGCATCTGCCATCCAACTTCACACGATGGCAGGCCACCATGGATGCCAAAAGCCAACTTGCGAGGAATCCTACAGCCCCAGCAGCTAGAGCCACAACCTGCAAAAGATATACCGATATGTTAGATCACATTTTGCAATACTGCATACGAATATGGTAGAACGGTATTGTGCACTTACGCTTGCACCCAATACTGAGTAAGCTGCCAGAATCAAGGCCGCATGCCCTTGCCCACTCCAGAAAAGAAGTGTGGCAAGTGCACAACCAGCACCAACAAAGAAAAGTGATGAGAATGATGGGACAAAAAAGCTTTCCCACCACCTGCACAACAATCATCTCATTACAATTCATAGCTGCATGCAAGGAATTATGCCGATGAAAGAACCAACTGTGCTCACCACTTCGCATTCCCACACAGATGCTGGTAGTAGGTTGAAACGATAGATATACACCCAGAGATGACGATGAAGCCACCAAATGCAAGCAGAAGAGATGGATACGATAACCTGCAAGCCACAAAAGTAAATAAGTTCATCTTACCAGTCCGGGCCCCAAATTTGCAAGGAACACTCGAATTCTGTAGAGTGCACTTACTGGTGAGGAAGCAATGTTGAGTGGTAGAACAAAGTAGCTCCCACAGCACTGGACAGCAACAGACCTCCTCCGTACCTAAATCCAATCTTGGGCAACTCCCACGAATCCAGCTCATGATGCATGCCACTATAGGAGAGAAGCGGCTGGGTGTCTGTTCGAGATGTAAAGCTTCCAAACAAAGAACCCACATAGACGGTCATGGAGCAGATCGAAAGCGCCCAGAGATATATTGAGAGTGAGGTGGCCAGAGGAATAGCATGTGAGTATCCTCCAACAGAAAGTGTCCAGTTCAGCAGAAGCAGAAGTCCTTGAACAATTGTCGAAGGGAGTATTGACGATAACAGCACAGACCCCATGATGTCGGAATACTTGAAGGAGCCCAGGATCTTCGTAGATATGTAACCGTTAACTGCACCCAGTCCAACAAACGAGTAGAAGGACAGCTGCATCATTGATACCCGAGCAGCTGGATCCCTCAGACCATAAACAGCTGCTAACGCTGTCACGAATGCAGCAGCAAGTAGTTGGACGCCTGATCCAACCTGTGGAACAATAGAACTTATAAAAAATGGACCAACACATTGTATGCTTGTAATCTGTAAACTTATAATTTAATTACTCCTTACCAGGGAGGAAAGCAGGTCAATTCTGTCATGCCCCACTTGATGCGTGTGCTCCTTCAATGGCTCCCACAGATAAGCCTTGGTTCGGTGGCTAGACTCAAGTTGGCGGAGTAGAATCTTGCACAAAACGTACAAAATGACCACTGGCGCACAAGCGAAAACTATCCAGACGAGTGCTTCCGAGAAGCTGATCCCCAACCCCTTCTTCACAAATAAGTGGTCCCATCTGGAGGGCCACGGGTTTGTTGACCTTATCCAGTAAACCGAGTAGGTGAACATGACGTCACCTGAACGTCAATTTTTTGTTATCAATACGGAGGTACGGGGTTGAGAGGACTGAGCTTATGAGAAAAGTACCCGAGGCCTTCTGAGGATGAGGCTCGGTTTCGCATTCGCCAATTCTCTTTGGTGCAATGCCTGAAGAGCGTGGCTGCATTTGAACAGATGATATCCGTACCTCGCGCTCTCCGGCGCCATCGATCCAGTCGTTATAATGAATAAGAAACGTGACCTGCACGGATTGAAGAATTAGCAAAAAACTGCATGTTGCAACTGGGTTAGAAGTTCGAATTGCATGGCCGTGAACGCACATGGTTTGTCACATAGAAATCATCCGCGTCGTGACTTCCAAGAGCATAGCCATCCGCTGTACCTCCGTGGCTTTCCGTGTGCAAAACGGGAAGGCTGTCGGCGCGCAGCTTAGCGAGAGGCCGCTTCTTCGAAGTAACCAGCTTTGTGAAGAGTCTCGACGACTTACCTTGATTGGCGAAATTCGGAACAAGACACAAGAAACGGCAAGTCACGTTCGTAAGGATTTTGATATCATACGGAGTGGGAAGCAGCTGTGTGTTTAGTAAGACGTCTGCCAGGTACTGGGGTTGAACTCTCCAGAGAGTTGTGTCCTGGCAAAACGGCAAATCGTGGAAATCTGGTGCTCCCGGCACCGAATCAGATAATGGAACAATGCCGATTGGTAGAGAGTCATTTTCTCTGGCAAAGGTCGAAATTAGTCATTAAAAAACGGGTTTCCTCGTCATCGAATGCATCGCGATGTCAATGACTCAAACACACCTGAAAGTGTGTGGGTGTAAGCCTGGAAGGAACGCGTAACAGCGTCCATGATGTGCAACGAAGAGACAGAACGTCAGAACGAGCAGGCTGAAATGCATCGCCATGTTGTGAGATGGCGAATCCCAAATTTGCCAATGACAGGTGTTCGTGAGTCGTGACTGCTGTATTTCAGGCTTCTGTTGGGAGGGATGGGAGCTTCGGTTGTCACTCGGGATTGCCGCGCGATAATTGAAATGCACATGTTTATTGGGCGATTTATCTACATAAAAAAACAAACATTGCACCTCAACATTAATACTCCAACTACCGTACAACCAACCTTCCCACCCCTTGTAGTGTTTGCTAGTGATTGCTTTTGCCTGATGCTTTAGTAGTAATTTCTTATCGCAATCTGACACAGTACCGCAGATGGCAAGGGCCTTTCTCAGCCCAACAACAATACCGTAACAAGCTCTTTCATCGAACATATAAGATCAATCTTTTGTTGGTATTTTCTCCTCCTTTCATTCAACTTATAACACCTAAACCCCAAACTGCAAACATGGTTACAGACGAATTACAATATGCTCCAACAGCACTGAGTGCAGCAAGGCACTCGTTGTGTGCCCTGGCCCCACAGATTCAATTAAATCGTACATACACCGCTTACTGGTTATCGCCGCAATTTTTTCAAAGGAATGACTTCCTCTTCCGATTCGCTTTCATCTTTATATGACTTCACTGCTGCCTTGCGCCCGCCAGACGTCGGGGCCTTAGCTCCCGCTCTCGCAGTCCCATTGCTGCTCGGCCCAACACTCCTCCCTCCCCCACTCGGTTCTACTTTCGCCGCAGAACCTGAAGCCTTGCCTCCTGCCGCCGAACCAGATCGGCTGCCGGGCGCAGTGGCCGAGGCTCGGGAGGCAGCTGCCGAAGCAGCAGCCGAAGAGGCTCGGACAGCAGTGGCTGCTCTGGCAGATGCAGGGGTGGCTGCTGCTGATCGGCCGCTTCCTCGTTTTTGCTTGATAACCAGCACTCGCCTCGCTTCATCCTCATCCAACAATCCGTGCTCCATCATCCTGCCGGGGTTCATACCAGAAAGGTAGTGAATACTGGGGTCTAACCAACGAGCCGTACAGTCAGATGGTTTACTGCTGCTGCTTCTGCTTCACTTCACCATCTAACGACCCCTTCTCCATCAGCCTGTGAGGAGTTCACAATTGGGACGAATTACATGGTAACTCAACAAGGAGGTTGACACTGCAAGAAGAACATTGAGCGACAAACAGCTCTGCATGCGTCTCAGGTAAAAGCATTGTTCACAGTAAAACCCTGCTGCGATGAGGGTGGAAATCAGCAGAGACAGCTTAGCGAAGTTACTCCAACTTGCAGAAAAACAAGTGAAGCTTGGCAATGCAACAAGAACAGTATGATGAACACACTAGAAAAGCTAAGGAAGAACTCCATGTCTGACTGACAAATGTGTGCAAATTAGAAGTACCAAACTCTAGATCTCAAAGCGACGGTTGGAATGAAAAGGTACCATATTTGCGCCATCTCGCTGTCTGGACGCTGGTTGTAAAGGCTCTCATAGAAAATGCGCAGAGGCTCATTCTGCAGTCCATGAGTACAGGGGATGGAAGGTGGACGGTAGAGGAGGACAGGGGGGAGGCGGAGAGCAGCACGTTAGAACAGTAAGCAGTACTATTATTTGTGCCACCTCGCTGTCTGGACGCTGGTTGTGAAGGCTCTTATAGAAAATGCGCAGAGGCTCATTCTGCAGGAAGAAAAAGAGAGAGGCGCATGGGGGACGAAGGGAGTAGAGGAGGCAGGGAGTGAAAGGGGAAAAAGAGAGGGAATGGAAGGGGAAAGAGGATACAGTGATGAGGGGAGAGGAAGGGGGAGATTGTCACACACAGAAGGGAAATTGCTTCGTATAGGCGTTTGCCTAAGCATTTGCCTAAGCACTTGCCTCAGCACCACCTCTTTCTTTCTACCTCACCAATTCCACGCCTTCCCCTTACCTTCTCCCCTATTCCCTCACAACCTCCTCCTGCTCTCCCCACTGGCTCTCCCCCACCCTTGCCTCATATTTCTCCTTCCTCACCTCCTCTGGCTTTCCCCATTTACCTCCTCTGGCTCTCCCCACTGGCTCTCCCCCACCCTTGCCTCATATTTCCCCTTTTCTCACCTCCTCTGGCTTTCCCCATTTACCTCCTCTGGCCCTCCCCACTGGCTCTTCCCACTGGCTAATCCCTCCGTACCTCCTTGCACTCCCCCCACTGGCTCTCCCACGCCCTTGCCTTATATTTCCCCTTCCTCACCTCCTCTGGCTCTCGCGTTAAACCAGGCCTTATATGCTTTGGCCCCTCACATTCTCCCCACTGGCTCTTACCTCCTTCACTGCCAAAATTACCCCCTTCGGCAAATCCTCTGGAGCTCGCTACTGCATCTCCCCACTTCCCGCCCTTGACTCTCCCTTGCCACTGCCCAGATATTCCCCCTTCCTCACCTCCTCTGGCGGCTCTCTCAGCTGTCCCGGCAGGTCAAACACCGCCTTCTCCTTCTTTGGCTTCACGGCCTCCTTGTCCTTCTGTGTCTGCGATTGTGAGGGAGCACACGCAGGAAATTGAGAGAGTGAGGGAGGGAAAGACAGGTTAGTGAAGAGGCACCTCCTCTGGCGGCTCCCTCAGCTGCCCCGGCAGGTCAAACACCGCCTTCTCCTTCTTTGGCTTCGCAGCCTCCTTCTCCTTCTGTGTCTGCGAGCATGTGAGGGAGCACATGTACGAAAGTGAGCGAGGGAAGGAACGAAAAGGTGTTTTCAGGGGGTGCCTTCTCTCTCTGGCGGCTCCCTCAGCTGCCCCGACAGATCAAACACCTTTTCCTTCTTTGGCTTCGCAGCCTCCTTGTCCTTCTGTGTCTGCTGAGCGCATGGTAGGGCACATGAAAGAAAGTGACTGAGTAAAGGAGAAACAGACAATTTTCCCTGCCTCTGGTGGCTCCCTCAGCTGCCCCAGCAGGTCAAACACAGCTTTCTCCTTCTTTGGCTTCGCAGTCTCCTTGTCATTCTGTGTCTACAGGCATCAGGGAACACATGCAGGAAAGTGACGGAGTGAAGGAAAGAAACAAGTTCACTTTCAGAAGCCCCTCCTCTGGTGGCTCCCTCCGCTGCCCCGGCAGGTCAAACACCGCCTTTTCCTTCGTTGACTTCGCAGCCTCCTTGTCTTTCTGTGCCTGCGAATGTGAGGGAGCAGGAGGAAAAGAAAGTTTACTTACTGGCGCCCTTCTCTCGGAGGCCCCTTACTGGCGCCCTTCTCTCTCTCCCTCGGAGACTGTGGGAGAGAGAGCCAGGTCCCTCTTAGGGGTCTAAAAACACCTTCACACCCTCCTTGTCCTTCTGTGACAGTGAATGTGGGTGCGGGAGTGTGGGCATGCGACTGGCATTTTATTGCCCCTGAAAGAGAGAAAGAGACGGAGAGAAAGAAGGCATTGTGCAAGAGGTTAGCGTACCTTCCACGCGGACATCTCGATGAGTGTCAAACGGCCTCTGCTTCGTGAGGAGGTTTTTCGTGTCAACCAGCTCGTAATTTTGAAAATTCTCAAAAGGCATTGTGCAAGAGGTTAGCGTACCTTCCGCGCGGACATCTCGATGAGTGTCAAACGGCCTCTGCTTCGTGTGAGAACGGATGTGAATCTTCGAGCCGGAATTGCAGATGAAGATGAGAGCTATAGATGTTGAGAGCTACAGATGATTAAGAGTTAAGTCGCAGATGCGCTACGGAGCTACTTAGGGCCGCAAGCGGCGGACGAAGACGACGAAGCTCCCTCGCGCAGAATTCTCAATCAAGAGTAGACCACCCCTTCACGAATACGCCTACTGCCTTGCGCTTGAACGTGACCGATTCTAGCCGTCTAGAAACGCACGGGGTGAGTGAAACGAAAGGAACGGCTTGGGAATGAAAGTAGCGTTACAACCGCGGCTACGAAGAGGACCGAAGCAGCCGAGATCCGAGGCCAATCGCGAAAGGGTTTGAATTTAGGTCAACTGGACCCCCCAGTAACTTCAGCAGACTTGTCACGAGTCGCACGTCGACGTGTGAAGTATGAGGGTCAAATGAGTTGATTGACCTGACACGTGTTTTTGGGTGGCGGAACGGGGAGAGAGCACCGCCGTGAGAACAGCGATAGAGGGCATAATGGAGGGAGGCGACGAAGGGGCGGGGTGAGGGAGGAGGGTGAAGAGAGTAGCGATTTTGGTAACCCGCAGAATGTAATTAGTTTGAGACAATAGTGGGAAGATTCCAGGTCATCCCTCTCCCACACAATCACTAAAGTCAAACCTAAACCACACATTCATACTATCCAACCCCACCACATTCATGCCATCTTCACGCCACAATAATGGTGTGACTTGAATTCCCATAATTTATCAAATGTGTGCAATAAGCACAACACTAGTGTTTAATTGCAGCATATACAGCTGCATCTCAGCACCAAGAATAGATTTACTGCTCATAGTTGCATCATAGTGCCTCATCTTTACTAGACACCAGGTGACGCTGTAATCCACAGTGCAGCACTATCCTGTGCTGCTGATGGTACTCCATAGTGAGCTCTTCATTAACCATACATGTACAGCATCAACGTTTTGATGCTAAAATTAGCTGTATTCTAGTGCCCTTCCCTCGTGTGCTCTGATACCAGCTGAAGCTGCACACCCTGAGGTACGGCAATGTGCTGCCAGTATTCCATAGTGAACCGAGCATATAGATTTGCTTGCTTTAGTTGCAATCTAGTGCCCTCCTCTCTTGTGTTCCGACACCAGCTGTAGCTGCACATCCTGAGGAACGGCACTGTGCTGCCAATACTCCATAGTGAACTCCCCTTTACCCTGTAGAGAACATGGACAGAATTTGGGCACGTACACAGGCTTAGGTATCACATATGCAAGTATAGAATGATAATACCCATCTCAACGCCATTTCACTCATCTCAATGCATCTCACCTGTCTCAATGCCACCCCATCTCAATGTCATCTCACCCATCTCAATGCCATCTCACCCATCCCAATGCCATCTCACCCATCCCAATGCCATCTCACCCATCCCAATGCCAACTCACCTGTGTCATGGAGCGAAGATCAGTGGAGTAGCCAAACATGTTATTGAGAGGGACCTGCAATGGAAGGCATAGAGTGGGAAGAGAAGGGAAGAAAAAAGCGAGAAGGGAAAGTATGGGGAGAGGATGCAAGGGAGCATGGGTTGCTGTGGGCTATGGAGTGAAGGTCAGAGGAGTAGCCAAACATGTTGTTGAGAGGGACCTGAAGGGGGGAAGAGAAGGGAAGAGGAAAGCATAGAGGTGCCACCTGAGCATCTATCAGAAACCACCTGAGCGTTGTTGCTAACCCACCTGAGCCTTGTTCGCAACCCACCTGAGTGTTGATGGTGATGTCATCCCCATCCTGCTCATTGCCGATAACAATGCCCTTGCGCCTGATTATTGCGCATGCATAAACACTTCGGGTCGACTCAAAACTCAACTCTGAGCCTTGGTGGTAACCCACCTGTGCACTGATGGTTATGTCATCCCCATCCTGCTCACTGCCCACTCTAAGGTCCTTGCGCCTGATCATGATTACGCATGCATACACAGTTTTGACTCGACTCAAAGGTCAACCCTGACCCTGATCGATAACCCACCTGAGCGTTAATGGTGATATCATCCCCAGCCTGCTCATTGCCCATAAGAATGCCCTTCCGCCTGATAATGATTACGCATGCATACACACTTTAGCGTCGACTCAAAGGTCAACCCTGAGCCTGATTGATAACCCACCTAGGTGTTGATGGCAACCCACCCGAGTGTTGATTGGAACTCAGCTGGGCATTCTTGGTAACAAAACTGACAGTTGTTAGTAACCCACCCGAGCGCTAATGGTGATGTCATCCCCATCCTCCTCACTGCCCACTATGATGCCCTTGCGCCTGATCATGACGGCTCATGCATACATATGCATACATGCGCCTACTGGTAACTTATTTGAGATTTTCAAGTAACCCACCTGAGCGTTAATGGTGATATCGTCCCCATCCTGCTCACTGCCCACAATGATGCCCTTGCGCCTGATCACAATTGCACACACAAGCAGAGGTGACTTTTGAGTCGACTCAAAAGATGCCCTTGCGCCTGATCACAATTGCACACACAAGCAGAGGTGACTTTTGAGTCGACTCAAAAGATGCCCTTGCGCCTGATCACAATTGCACACACAAGCAGAGGTGACTTTTGAGTCGACTCAAAAGATGCCCTTGCGCCTGATCACAATTGCACACACAAGCAGAGGTGACTTTTGAGTCGACTCAAAAGATGCCCTTGAGCCTGATCACAATTGCACACACAAGCAGAGGTGACTTTTGAGTCGACTCAAAAGATGCCCTTGCGCCTGATCACAATTGCACACACAAGCAGAGGTGACTTTTGAGTCGACTCAAAAGATGCCCTTGCGCCTGATCACAATTGCACACACAAGCAGAGGTGACTTTTGAGTCGACTCAAAATGCCCTTGCGCCTGATCACAATTGCACACACAAGCAGAGGTGACTTTTGAGTCGACTCAAAAGATGCCCTTGCGCCTGATCACAATTGCACACACAAGCAGAGGTGACTTTTGAGTCGACTCAAAAGATGCCCTTGCGCCTGATCACAATTGCACACACAAGCAGAGGTGACTTTTGAGTCGACTCAAAAGATGCCCTTGCGCCTGATCACAATTGCACACACAAGCAGAGGTGACTTTTGAGTCGACTCAAAAGATGCCCTTGCGCCTGATCACAATTGCACACACAAGCAGAGGTGACTTTTGAGTCGACTCAAAAGATGCCCTTGCGCCTGATCACAATTGCACACACAAGCAGAGGTGACTTTTGAGTCGACTCAAAAGATGCCCTTGCGCCTGATCACAATTGCACACACAAGCAGAGGTGACTTTTGAGTCGACTCAAAAGATGCCCTTGCGCCTGATCACAATTGCACACACAAGCAGAGGTGACTTTTGAGTCGACTCAAAATGCCCTTGCGCCTGATCACAATTGCACACACAAGCAGAGGTGACTTTTGAGTCGACTCAAAAGATGCCCTTGCGCCTGATCACAATTGCACACACAAGCAGAGGTGACTTTTGAGTCGACTCAAAAGATGCCCTTGCGCCTGATCACAATTGCACACACAAGCAGAGGTGACTTTTGAGTCGACTCAAAAGATGCCCTTGCGCCTGATCACAATTGCACACACAAGCAGAGGTGACTTTTGAGTCGACTCAAAAGATGCCCTTGCGCCTGATCACAATTGCACACACAAGCAGAGCGACACACACATGCGAATCACACACACACATACAGGCAGAAGCGTTTTTGAGGCGCCTCAAAAACGACCTCGAATCACATACACACATACAGGCAGAAGCGTTTTTGAGGCGCCTCAAAAACGACCTCGAATCACATACACACATACAGGCAGAAGCACACCACATAGAAAAAGGAAAGATGAAACATTCAGCCAATTGAATTGAAACAACATGACACTACCAGGCAGATTCAGTGGTCACTGGTCTGGTCATGACGAATATCAGCAGTGGTAAAAGCTTACAGCCCTAAGACCTGTTGTTGAAATCTTAAAAGAAGAAAAAAAATCCCAGAACCATTAATGAGACGTTTCGAAGGCTAGTTGAGTCGAGTAACCAAACTTGGTTTTTGAGAATTCTAAAAAACTAACCAAACTTGTTGTTGAGAAGCATTCCAGGCGCGTCAAGAATCTGTTGATGGAATTTCAATATCTGTTGCAAACTTTTGAGGCGCCTCAAAAGTCCTCAGAAGGAGCTCAAGATTCTGTAGATGGAATTTCAATATCTGTGTATATTTCCCCCGCAGAAAAATATCGTTCCTGTTCTCCGTATTTATCTGAATAAATATATTTCAATATCCGTATATATCTGGTCCCTGTTCTCACCGGTTAATGTTCCCAATTATCGTTCCTTGGAACTCCACAGGTGCCTTCACCTCCACTGCCATCACCGGCTCTAGAATGACCGGCCGGGCCTTATCATAGCACTGCAATGGGTAGAGGAAAGATTGAGGAGACGACATGGTTGAGAGTGGTGGAGAGGTGTATAATGGGGATGGGAACTCCACCGGAGCCTTCACCTCCACTGCCATCATGCTCCAAGATGACAGGCTGAGCCTTCTCGTAGCACTGCAATGTGGAAAGAGTTGATGGAGTGGGGGAGGCCCAGCTGAAAATCAATATTCCACCGGAGCTTTCGCTTCCACTGCTATCACTAGCTCCAAGATACCATGCCAAGCCTTCTCATATCACAGCACTGGACGGGGCATAATGGGTAAGGGGTAAATAATGCGGACAAGCGTGTTGAGGGGGTGTGACGGCTGGGGAGGGGAGGAGGAGGAGGGGCTACATGTATATATACAGGCTGTGTGACACTCAATGAACATACAGATCTTCGCAACGTCTCAGAAATCGGATCGATTTGAGATGAATGTACCTGACTGCACGCACCTGTCTCAAGGCATAGTGGAAAGCACTACAGCGATTTGTGCTGCGAGCTTGAATGCCAGGTCACTGCTGTCTACCGCGTGGGAAGCACCATCGGTGAGCACACAGCAAGCCCAACACATGTGACCGCCACAGCACCCCTCCACCTGCTGCTGCTCACCTGTCTGAAGGCGTAGAGAGCAGCGAGCTTGAACGCCAGGTCACTACTGTCAACCGCGTGGGAGGCACCGTCGGTGAGCACACAGCGAATGTTGACCACTGGATGGCCGATGAGCCCTCCACTGGGAAAGTGGGAGAAGGGAGGGAGGGAGGGAGGGAGGGGGAAGGTAAGTAAACAGGAATCAGTCAAACAGTCAATACAGCATGGGAACCACCATCGGTGAGCACACAGCAGATATTCACCACTGGATGGCCGATGAGCCCTCCACTGGGAAAGAAAGGTAGGGAGGGAGGGGGGGAGGGAAGGAGGTGGGGGGGGAGGGAGGGAGGGAGGGAGGGAGGGGGGGAGGGAGGGAGGGGGGAAGGGAGGGCCGCACACAGACAGGTGGTGGTGGATGAGTGAATGGCGAGATAGCACAGCGTGAGAAGCACACCGCGTGGAAGGTACCGTCATCATGCACACAGCGGATGTTCACCACTGGATTGCCCAATAATGCCGCCATTGGGGAAGGGAGAGAAGCACGCAGATAGGAGGCAGTGAATCAGTGACTGATAGGAAGCACACCGCGTAGAAGGCACCGCTGGTGAGCACACAGCAGATGTTCATCATTAGATGGGTGTGGAAAGGCGTGGAATCATTCCCAACGTCTTTGCGGGCATAAGGGACCAAGAAAAAAACTAAGAGTTTGTCTTGAAGGTGAACCTGTTAGCCTGTCATCTTTGTGGGTTTGAGACGTTGGCAACGCCTCATTGTGGATGTTCGTGTGGATGTTTCTATTCTACAGGTTTACGAGAAAAGAGTGTACGACATTCTTTAAGATTTCGTTACCCGACCTCGGCGGACGCCGTAAGTAACAAATTATGCGAGTCCCTTGGCAGAGAACTCTACTGCCGGATCGAGACCTTGGCAGGGTACTCTGCTGCCGAACAGAGTCGATCATCGAGAGGACCCTGCTGCCAAACCGAGTCCGCTAGTAGCGGCATCTCCTATAATACTCGATTCTACGAGTGGAGTGGTCCAAGGTGCCAACGCTGTAGCAGTAAGCTTGCTGGAAGAAGTCACGAGAGCGCTCGACCACAGTTTGTCAAAGAGGTGGGAAACGAGTATGAGAGGTGGTAAAGCGCTTTCTTTCAGTGCACTTCACTGAAACTATATTTTTGGTACCACCAACTCATGACTGGTACGTTTTTTTTTAGCAGTGGAATCTCCTGCACAAAGAGAAGTACCATCCATGAATTGATGGTACCAGAATCGGAGCTTCAATGCATTGCGCTGGAAGAAGGCACTCCACCACCTCTCACACCTGTTTCCCACTTTTTTGACAAACCGTGGTCAAGCGCTCTCGTGACATCCTCCAGCGAGCTTATTGCTACAGCGTTGGCATCTTAGACCACTCCACTCATAGTATCAGGTGTTATAGTAGACGCCGCTGCTAACGGACTTGGTCTGGCTGCAGGGCCGCTCGCTGACGGACTCAATCCGGCAGCAAAGTTGTCTGCCAAGGGATTTGGTTCGACAGCCAAGTCCCCTGCCAAAGGACTCGCATAATCCGCTAGTAACGGCGTCCGCCAAGGTTGGGTAACGAAATCTTCAAGAAAATCATACACCCCTTCTCGAAGACCTCCAGAATGGAAATTTGCAAGCACGAACATCCACAATTAGGAGTTGCCACCGTCTCAAGCCCACAAATATGACGGGCTAACATGTTCACCTTCAAGACAAACTCTAAATCCTTTTCTTGGTCCCTCATACCTGCAAAGACGTGACGAAAGGCATTGGGAAAGATGTGCTGTGTTGTGTGCTGTGAACCTCGCCTGTTCCCACTCAGTGTGCCACGCCGACAATCTCATTGCCAAACACCACCCGGGAGTCACTTCCGTGCTGCCCATGCTGTGCTGTGTTGTGCTGTGTGCTGTGCATCCCACCAATCCACTCAGTGTGCCATGCCGACAATCTCGTTGTCAAACACTACCTGGGAGCCCCTAAGGTGCTCCCACTGCTGTCCACCAAACTGTTCCCACTCACTCTCCCATACCAGTCCCTTCAAGCTCAGGCTGATCCTCTCTTGTTGGCCGCTTCCAAAAAGCCCTTCTCAATCCCCGCAAATAAAGTTGGAGGGGATGGCCGTGCCTACAATCTCGTTGTAAAACACCTCTCCGACGGGAAGACAAGGGGATGGACACTAGGGAGGATGCTGCCAGTGCCGTGCTATCCATCCGTCTACTCCAACTCACTCTCCCCCCTTCAGGCTCACGTTGATTCATACCTGTTAGCTGCTTCCAAAAAGCCCTTCTCAATCCCCGCGAAGAAGTTGGAGGGGATGGCTGTGCCGACGATCTCGTTGTCAAACACCACCTTTGAGTCTGAGCCTGATGCGTCTTCCAGTGGCTCAATGTAACTGGTGGTGGGAGGGTTGTGTGAGGACAGGGGGGAATGAGAGATGAGGAGAGGCAGGTTGACAAAACGTGCCGACAATCTCCTTGTCAAACACCACTTTTGAGTCCGAGCCTAAAGCATCCTCGAGTGGCTCGATGAAGCTGGTGGTGGGAGAGAAGGAGAGGAGGAGAAGCAGGTTGCATTGTGAGACAGACACCAATACAGGTGGTCTCATGCCGTGCCGACAATCTCCTTGTCAAACACCACTTTGGAGCCCGAACCCGATGCATCTTCGAGAGGCTCGATGTAGCTGGTGGTGAGGCCAAGAAGGGGATAAGAGGGTGGGAAAGAGAGGGCGAGAGGGCGAGATCGCCTAAAGGACGAGGAGAGGAAGAGCGAGAAGGATTGAAACAAGAAAACCGACTTTTGCTTACTCACCCAATCACACGCCGATACTGCCCCTGCCCGCCGCTCTGCTTCTTGTGCGTGTAGTCAACCTCAGCCCTCTGTGTTACCCCATCCTGTTGTTCAGCCCTCTTGACTTCCAACCCGCACTCACTCATCACCCTATGACGCACCCCTAGTCCTGCCCTCACTCACCCGATGACTTGGCCATACTGCCCCTGCCCTCCGCTCTGCTTCTTGTGTGTGCAATCAAACTCCGCTCTCTGTGTGACTGTCTCTCGGAAGTTTAGTTGTCTCAATCAAGACTCACCCTATGATGCGCCCCTACTGCCCTCACTCACCCGATCACACGCCCATACTGCCCCTGCCCTCTGCTCTGCTTCTTGTGTGTGTAGTCAAACTCTGCTCTCTCAGTGACTGTCTCCTGTTGTCACTCTCTGGCCCCATCATACGCCCATACTGCCTCCCCTTCACTCACCCGATGACACGCCCATACTGCCCCTGCCCTCCGCTCTGCTTCTTGTGTGTGTAGTCAAACTCAGCCCTCTGTGTGACCGTCTCTCGGAAGTTCACTTGCGGCTTGCCCACCACTGTGTCCACCTGGCAGGCAGGTGAGGCAGGATGGGGAGATGAAGTGAAAGGTGGGAAGGAGGGGTGAGGTGCGGTGGGGCGGGGTGGAATGAGGGCTCCTGTAGTCAAACTCTGCCCTCTGTGTGACGGTTTCTCGGAAGTTCACCTGCGGCTTGCCCACCACCGTGTCAACCTGGCAGATTGAGTAAGGATAGAACATTAAGACACAGGGATGTGGGGGCGGGGAGAGGGATCTGTTGCATCAAACTCCGCCCTCTGAGCGACCGTCTCTCGGAAGTTCACTTGTGGCTTGCCCACCACCGCGTCAACCTGGCAGATTGAAAAGGACAGAGCATTTCAAACACACGGGTGTGGGGGCGGGGAGAGGGACCTGTCAAGTCATAATCCAACCTCTGGTTGACTGCCTCTCGGAAGTTGACTTGACGCTTGCCCACCACTGTTCCATTTGGGAGGTGAAGCAAGACAGAATAATCAAGGGACAGGGTGGGTGCGGGGGTGGGGTGAATGCACCTAGTCTTTTAGACATTCTGATTTCTGAAATGATTCTTAGTCTTTTTAACTAATCTGATTTGTGGAATGCACCTAGCCTTTTACAGATGCCCAAATGTGATTATAAGCACACTCACCATGCACCCCTCCTCTCTTCAGTCAACCGCACCACATACCACTGCACTGCACTGCACCTACCTTGTGCTCTCTTACAACGCCCCACATAAATGTCCAGATGCAGCTCACCCACCTCACAAGCCCAGGCTGCACTGAAGCGCACTCCACCCATTCACACCGCACACCACCCACTCACACCGCACACCACCCACCTTGTACTCTCTCTTGATCCGCTCCACATAGATGTCCAGATGCAGCTCACCTGTCTCACCAAACAGAGTCCCTCACTGAACCAGAAACATAGCACCCACCTGCACCGCACACCACCCACCTTATATTCTCTCTTGATCCGCTCCACATAAATGTCCAGATGCAGCTCACCCATTCCTGATATGATGGTCTGGAGGGGCAGCGGGGGGAAGAGGGGGGAGGGGGAAGGGGGGGAAGAGGGGGGAGAGGGAAGGGGGGAAAGCAGGGGGGAAGAAGGCGAGGCGGGATAGAGTGTGGGGCAGTGTTCAAATGGGTGGATGTCCAGGACCAGAGCAAACGCACATGAGCCGCATGTCCAGATGCAGCTCACCCATGCCTGAGATGATGGTCTGGCGGAGCAGGGAGGGGAGACGGGATAGATGGTGGAATTAAGAGGAGGGGAGACCAGAGCAAACGCACATGAGGTGCATGTCCAGATGCAGTTCACCCATGCACAATATGATGGTCTGCAGGGGCAAAAAAGGAGGGTAAGGCGGGAACGGGGAAGGGGTTGGAGATCAGTAGGTGAGACGCATTTTGAGGCGCCTCAAAATCCGCGAGACATGAGACGACTTTTGAGGCGCCTCAAAAGGGGTTAGAGATCAGTAGGTGAGACGCAGGGGGCGAGGGGCACAGATCAATAGGTACATGTCCAGATGCAGCTCACCCATGCCCGATATGATGGTATGGAGGGAAGATGAGGAGGGGAGAGGGGGAAAATGGTGAGGCTTAGAAGTATACCACAACATATGAGGCAGTTGATAAGACCATATGCTGCATGTCGCTTTTGAGTCGACTCAAAATGACTTCTGAGTTGACTCAGACGTAGATCAGAACATATGAAGCAGTTGATAAGACCAGATGCTGCAGCTCGATCTTGCATATCCCCCTCTCATACCCCATGCTCCGTACCCCATGCCCAATGCTCCGTACCCCATGCCCAATGCTCCGTACCCCATGCCCAATGCTCCGTACCCCATGCCCAATGCCCCGTGCCCCATGCCCAATGCCCCGTGCCCCATGCCCCATGCCCCATGCCCCATGCCCCATGCCCCATTCCCCGTGCCCCATGCCCCATTCCCCGTGCCCCATGCCCCATTCCCCGTGCCCCATGCCCCATTCCCCGTGCCGCATGCCCCATGCCCCATTCCCCGTGCCCCATGCCCCATGGCCCATGGCCCATGTCACACATGTTCAGTAAAAACTAAAAGAGCTCACCTCGCCACTGTCAGGATCCACGCTGACTCGGAAGGTGGGATCCTCCTTCTGGAAGCGGAGCAGCTTACTTCACTGGTTTGAGGATAGAGGCTAGCGGCTGGAGGCTAAAGGGTAGAGAGTAGAGGGTAGAGGGTAGCAGCAGCTCACCTCGCCACTGTCAGGGTCCATGCTGACTCGGAAGGTGGGGTCCTCCTTCTGAAAGCGGAGCAGCTTACTTCACTGGTTCGAGGATAGAGGCTAGCGGCTGGAGGCTAAAGGGTAGAGAGTAGAGGGTAGAGGGTAGCAGCAGCTCACCTCGCCACTGTCAGGGTCCATGCTGACTCGGAAGGTGGGGTCCTCTTTCTGAAAGCGGTTCAGTGCCTTGGAGAACTGAAAGGATTGAGAGTGGAAGGTGCAGTGCAGCAGGAGGTGAAAAGGAGAAGAAACCACACAGTTTGTGGGCCTTCAGCTATTTTGCTTTGGAAGGTGTGGTGCCCTCCTTCTGAAAACTGCAAGGGGTTTGACATAACAGGCTCGGGCACGTTCGTGCTAAATACAAACAGCGCACAAACGCAAATGACGTGTCGTCTCAAAACAGCTTCGAGAATTTTCAAGAGCGACTCAGAGCTAGGGAGTTGACTTTTAAGTCGACTCAAAAGTCAGCTAGGGAGACACGGCCGCCTTAGATTATCATCCCTTAGAAAGTTGACCCACAAGGGCACCTTTCTGACTCGCCTGATTATTGTCTCCCTTGGGAACCAAGGAGATGGACAGATTTGAGAATTCTCAAAAGGAGGTGGAGAGCAACATGCCAGGCTCAACGCCAGATGCATAGCGACAGACTAGGTAGGTACCTCTCTAGTCCCTCTCACCTGTGCACCACCGTCTTTGGAAGCTGGCGAAATGGAAAGAGACATGACTGGTTCAGGTACGTTCATGCTGGTCATGGTGAAGCGCACCGAGCCGTGTGTGAAGGTGTCGCCTGGTGGGTGATGGGAGGGGGGAATAAGAGTGAGGAGTGAAGGGGAATGAACACAGACAGCAAGCCAGGCAGGCGCCCTGGCATGTTCACGCTGGTCACTGTGAAGCGCACCGAGCCGTGTGTGAAGGTGTCGCCTGGTGGAAGTGGTTTCAGGTGAACAAGCACAGGCAGCACACAGTAAGCCACAAGTTCGGGCACGTTCGTGTTGGTCATGGTGAAGCGCACCGAGCCATCTCTGAAGGTATCACCTGGTGGGCTGTGGGTGAGGGGTGAAATGGAGCACAAGGAGAGTACGGGAAGGATTAGTGTTGTGCGAAAAAAAAGCAAGCAGCAAGACACGGGCTCGGGAACGTTCAGGCACGTCCATAGTGGTCATGATGCTTCGCGGTTTTGTTCTTTTTGAGTCATGATGAACCGATCACAACCACTCACCCGAGGCACAGTCCACTCCGAACATGGCCACAATTTCCCTGGCGCCTGCCTCCCAGTGTCCACCGGCATGCAAGCAAGTCACATGCGAAAAGCACGCAAGTCCCACCCACATCGAATGAACCAATCACAACCACTCACCCAAGGCACAGTCCACTCCAAACATGGCCACAATCTCCCTGGTCCGCCCTGCCTTCCCAGTGCCCACCTCATGCAATCAAGAAGCTCACATCAAAAGTCACATGCATGGCCCATATTGACCCACCCACCCACCAGAGGCACAGTCCACTCCGAACATGGCCACAATCTCCCTGGTCCGCCCTGCCTTCCCAGTGCCCACCTCATGCAATCAAGAAGCTCACATCAAAAGTCACATGCATGGCCCATATTGACCCACCCACTCACCAGAGGCACAGTCCACTCCGAACATGGCCACAATCTCCCTGGTCCGCCCTGCCTTCCCAGTGCCCACCTCATGCAATCAAGAAGCTCACATCAAAAGTCACATGCATGGCCCATATTGACCCACCCACTCACCAGAGGCACAGTCCACTCCGAACATGGCCACAATCTCCCTGGTCCGCCCTGCCTTCCCAGTGCCCACCTCATGCAATCAAGAAGCTCACATCAAAAGTCACATGCATGGCCCATACCCACTCACCAGAGGCACAGTCCACTCCGAACATAGCCACAATCTCCCCGGCGCCAGCCTCTTGAATGTCCTGCGAGGGGGGAGGAGAAAGTGCGGGACCGAAAATGGGTGAGATAGAGGGTTCAAGCGAACAAAAGAAAAAACAAACATACGAACAAAAAAACAAACAAACAAACAAACAAACAAACAAACAAACAAACAAACAAACAAACAAACAAACAAACAAAGAAACAAGAAAAAAACAGCTCGCCGCTTCAATAACATCGTAGGCAGCACTGCAAGCAGCCTCTGCTCCAACCATCCGCTCACCTCCATGTCATCTGCATGCATGCGCACAAGGCGAGGCACCTGCAGTGCAGACACACACATAGCGCCCACCGCCCATTGCCTGCCCACTGCCCAGTGCCCACAGCCCCCTGCCCCCTGTCCACTGCCCTACCACCAACAGCATCCACCCACCTCCATGTCATCTGCGTGCATGCGCACAAGGCGAGGCACCTGCAGGCACACACAGACAAAAACAAACATGAATTCAATATCAAGGGCTTCAAACTAAACCAAGGCGTATATCAAGGATCCTGAAGAGGCATACAAAGTGACGACTCAAACGAGACACCCAGATCGTAGTACTTGCTGATCCACCTTGACTACGTTGACCCACCTTGACTACGTTGACCCACCTTGACTACGTTGACCCACCTTGACTACGTTGATCCACCTTGACTACGTTGACCCACCTTGAATTGATTGACTCACTTTGACTTTCTTTCCTGTGCTGCAGTTAATAATGAATTCCCCTCGGCGCAACGTTCCCTCGTAAATCCTGAGACGGAGAGAACCGGAGAAAAATGGAGAAAAACGGAGGAAAACGGAGACGGAAGGAGAGACAGACAGAGAAAGTTGGGGGAATTTTAAGATTCTCCTCAGTGCGATGCGATAATGCGAAGAAATAATTGAAAGAACTCTGAGTCGGCTCAGATTTTCTCTCAGTGCAATTGCTGAAATGAAAGAAGTGGAAGAAACAGGGAATCTAGCACCCACCCATTCACTCCCCCATTCCACCTCAGGCAATTGAGTTGACAGAACCTGGTCGCAAAACCGAGCAAGCATGCATGCATGCTAAGAGTTCCCTCCCTTTACTTTGCCTCAGGTAAGTAAGTGAGCTGTCCGAACCTCCCCTCCTCCAGCTTAGTAGCCAGAGCCACCGGGGAGCTGCACAACCGTGCACTCATGCATGCTCACACTCTCCCATCTTAACACCCACGCCCCCACTCCCACATCCCCATGTCCCATTACCTCAGGTAAGTGAGTTGGCCGAACCTCCCCTCCTCCAGCTTGAAAGCCAACCCCACCAAGGGGCCGTTGGGGTCACCCGCTAGCGGCACCTGATGGGGTGGGGTGGAGCGGCAAAAAGGAGGGGTTGAGTGGGGTCAGCAAGGGCGCAGTGCAATGCAGAAAACAGAAGGGGGCAATTGAGTTGGCCGAATCTCCCCTCCTCCAGCTTGAAAGCCAAGCCCACCAAGGGGCCGTTGGGGTCTCCTGCTAGCGGCACCTGATGGGCGGGGTGGGGTGAGTGGGAACAGGGAGGAATTGCGCTGAGCAGCAAACACAAGGGGAGATGTGAGCTGGCCGGACCTCCCCTCCTCCAGCTTGAAAGCCAACCCCACCAAAGGGCCGCTGGGGTCACCCGCTAGAGGCACCTGATGAGTGGGGTGGGGTGAGAAGTGAGTGGGAGTGACAAAGTAAAGGGGAGTGGGTGAGTGGCGCCAGGCTGCCAGCAAGCGTGCATTCAGCAAACAGAAGGGAGACGTGATCTGGTTGAACATTCTTTCAAGCTGGCCAAACTTTGTTTCTTCGCATTCCACCCTCTCTGTGGTTTTCTCTTTTTCTGCCCTCTGTTTGCCCGCCCAACCTAACCGTTTCGTACTTATTTGTCTGCTTGCTCTTCTGTTTTGCATCTCCCCACGTAGGCACAGTGACGCAGCAAAATGAGGGGCCACGGAAGAGGAGGGGAGGATCCGAGCCACAGTTCCTCCCAGCCGCGTTCGAGCATTGAGCTCAAAAACTGGAAAACCGTTTTTTTTTTCTAGTTGAGTAACCATCTGGGGAAGGCAGAGCACTAGCACTGACATCACGAGTAACCCGCGCATCAGCAAAAGCGGCACAAGCAGGGGCCACAGAGGCAGGCAGCAGCAGCAGCCAGCTGCCAGCTGCAGACGCGGATGGAGAGCTTTCAGAGGAGTCTCATCAGAGATCTGCTCCTCCTCTGAAAGCTCTCCATCCGCGTCTGCAGCTGGCAGCTGGCTGCTACTGCTGCTTGCCTCTTTGGCCCCTGCTTGTACTGCTTTTGCTGATGCGCGGGTTACTCGTGATGTCAATGCTAGTGCTCTGCCTTCCTCAGATGGCTGGTCAACTAGTAAAAAGCAAAGAAAGGCCCACCAAGAGCCGCTGGCAAGCAGGCAGTCCACTAGTGTCGTACCATGCATGCAGTATATCTTACCAACACTAGTGTTGCGAGCGATAAGAAGGACAAACACAACTTCTCCTTCCTTCGTTTGTGGGGCACGGCAGGTAGTCCACCCACTGTTTCGTCCAGCATCCCACCTGAGCTACACTGGGAGCTATGCTGCTAACCAGCTATGTTGAGAGTGGGAAAAGCAATTGCCCAATACACACCTTCTCCTCCGCTTTGCTCTGGTCCAGGGCATGGTTGGCTACGTCTGTGGGGCATGGCGGGTAGTCCACCACTTCGTGCCATGCAGCGTCGCATCTGGACTAAACTAAGCTAAACTAGCGTTACGGGAATACGAAAGGCAAATGCACATACCTTCTCCTCCGCTTTGCTCTGATCCAGGGCATGGTTGGCCACGTCTGTGGGGCATGGCAGGTAGTCCACCACTCCATCCAGCAGCGGTTGCACCCCCTGCTTAGGTGAAATTTCAGGTGAAACAAACAGGTGGAAGATCAGGCAAAAAATACGGAGGTAAGGGATCAGGTTTTGAGCAAAAGAGGCAGAAGCAGAAAGCAGAGGGAATTAACATGTATATATGTACGTATATGTACATTTAAAATACATATGTATGCTTAAGACGCACTCAATACCACAGCTGACTCGCCCTGTTTCTGAATGCACTCCCCATGAAGACGGGCACGAAGTTCAGCGCCAGAGTGGCTCTGCGGATGGCAGCCTGCAGCTCCTCCAGCAGTGTCGCACCTTCACCACCCACCATCACTCATTACCTCTTTCCACCCCTGCCCACTCACTCTGTTCTTGAACGCGCTCCCCATGAACACAGGCACGAACTTCAACGCCAGGGTGCTCTGCAGATGGCAGCCTGGAGCTCCACCACTCACCACCACTCAGAACCACTGAAACTCACTCTGTTCTTGAAGGCGCTCCCCATGAAGACAGGAACAAACCTGAGCGCCAGAGTGGCCCTGCAGATCGCAGCCTGCAGCTCCTCTGCCGCAACTCGAGGCGGCCAATACCCCCCACACTCTTTTGTTGAGGGCACACCACACCACCATCCAATGAACAGCACCACTCACTCTGTTCTTGAATGCGCTCCTCATGTAGACCGGGACAATTTTCAACGCCAGAGTGGCCCTGCGGACCGCAGCCTGCAGCTCCTCTGCCTAGAGAGTACTGAGGTGGCCCCAACCAACACCACCAAGTCCCCCACTCACTCTGTTCTTGAACGCGCTTCCCATGAACACAGGAACGAATTTGAGCAACAGGGTGGCCCTGCAACCAGTAGCCTGCAGCGCCCTTTATAAGCAGTAGCTCTCACTCTGTTCTTGAACACGCTCCCCATGAACACAGGAACGAACTTCAATGCGAGAGCAGCCCTGCGCACACCAGCCTGCAGCACCCTTTGTAAGCAGCAGCACTCTTTCACCACTCCCCACTCACTCTGTTCTTGAAGGCGCTCCCCATGAACACAGGAACGAACTTCAATGCCAAGGTAGCCCTGCGGATCGCAGCTTGCAGCTCCTCGGCCCCAATCGGCTCATCGTTGAGAAACTTCTCGGCAATTACGTCATCCACCTCCGACAGGTGCTCGATCAGCTCGTGCCGTTTCTCCTCCGCCTGCTCCTTTAGGTTGTCTGGTATCCCTTCTTCCCTCCGCACCTTCTCCCTGCAGGAAACGGTAAAGCGGGGAAGATGTAAGCAATTGATCAGCTCGTGCATCTTCTTCCCCCCCCCCCCTGCTCCTTTAGGTTGTCCGGTATCCTTTCCTCCCTGCGAACTTCCTTCCTGCACAGGTGACAGAACCAAGGGGAAGCAAGCAGGGACGTACAGAGCAAAGCCATTCCTAAGCCACCTCTGACAGGTGCTCCATCAGCTCGTGCCTCTTCTCTTCTTCCTGCTCCTTCAGGTTCTCTCCTTCCCTGTCAGGTAGAAGGTGGATATCCCTTCCTCTCTTCCCACCTTCTCTCTGCACAATCGTCAAAACCAAGCGGAAGCACAGGGAAGATCCAAGTTTAAGCCACCTCTGGCAGGTGCTCTATCAGCTCGTGCCGCTTCTCCTCCGCCTGCTCCTTCAAATTGTCCGGTATTGCTTCCTCCCTTCGCACCTTCTTCCTGCAGGTATGGTACGGGAAAGGCAAGGGGAAACAAGCAAGAAACCAGCAAGCAAGAGGGAAGTAAATGCAGGGACACGGAGGAGACAACGTCGTCCTGACCCTCTAGATCCGACTTGTGAGGCGCCTCAAAAGTCGTCTCTGTTTTTGAGGCGCCTCAAAAAGCAAGCAAGAGGGAAGTACATATAAATGCAGGGACATGGAGGAGACAACGTCGTCCAGACCCTCTAGATCCGACTCCAGCCCTAAGGTGTCGTGATTTGACATGCTTGCTTTGTGAACATACCTAGATTTGACTTTTAATTCGACTCAAAAGTCACCTCAATAGATCCGACTCCAGCCAAAAGATGACATGATCTGAGATGCGTGCTATGTGAACATACCCACTGTACACATACTTGGTATGAACATGCCGACCATACTCATACTCGCTACATACATACCCGTTGGAGCCGTCAAAGTAAAAGGAGGACATGGATGGAGACCAGGTCGACTAGACCCTCTAAGTCAATCTCATAAGGATTTGGACATCCTTGATATAAGCATACTCGCTATAAACAAATCTCGTTATGAACATACTCGTTATTAACATACCCACTGGAGCCGTCAAAGTAGATGGAGGACATGGAGACGAGGTCGACGAGACCCTCTAGATCCGATTCCAAGCCGATGGGGATCTGATGGGGAGGAGAAGGAAGACAGGACGAGGATAGAGAGGGAAGAAAGGAAGGAAGGGGGAGAGGTGGATTTACTGTCGAGTCATGGGCCATGGAGCCTGCCTGGATAAAAAAATGAGCCGACTCAAAGATTGAGTTGACTCGCATATGTACAGAACAGCACACACAGCAGCAGCACACACAGCAGCAGCACACACAGCAGCAGCACACACAGCAGCAGCACAGCACCCGCATGCACCGCCGCATGCACAACACCCAGATGCACACAGCACAACACATCTCCACCGCACAGCACCCACCTGCACGGCAGCAGCGTTGAGCTTCAGCTTGGTCCGCAGAGCCCCCAGCACCTTCCACGGACCTCCCTTCCTGCTAGCCCTCTTGTGTCAACAAGTCGATACACACACATCACCACACATCGCAACCATCACCACACATCGCAACCAGCACCGCACAGCACCTACCTGCACCGCAACAGTGTTGGGATTTAGCTTGGACTGCAGAGCCACCACCACCTTCTACGGACCACTCTGTCTGCCCTGTTGTGTCACCAGCACCGTACACAAGACAATACCATACACAGCAGTAGCACAGCACCCACGTTCACCGCACAACACCCAACTGCACACAGCACAACACATCTCCACCGCACAGCACCCACCTCCACCGCACAGCACCCACCTGCACTGCAGCAGCGTTGAGCTTCAGCTTGGAGCGCAGAGCCCCCACAACCTTCCACGGGTCTGCCCCTGTCTGCCCTCTTGGGTCAACAGAACAATACATACCCAACACCGCATACAGCAGCACTGCACTCTACTGCACCGCACAGCACCCACCTCCACCGCACAGCACCCACCTGCACTGCAGCAGCGTTGAGCTTCAGCTTGGAGCGCAGAGCACCCACCACCTTCCACGGGTCTGCCCCTGTGCGGTCGAGCTTGTTGATAAAGGCGAGGCGAGGCACACTGGTGGAAGAAGAAAGGGATGAGAAAGAGCGATGAGGTTCACTCATCCACCCACCCCACCACCTTCCACGGGTCTGCCCCTGTGCGGTCGAGCTTGTTGATAAAGGCGAGGCGAGGCACACTGTTGGAGGGAGAGCGAAGGGAGGGTGGGTGGGAAGAGGGCAGTATGAGAGGGAAGAGTTACCCACCCACTCCTCCACCTTCCAGGGGTCTGCCCCAGTGCGGTCAAGCTTGTTGATAAAGGCGAGGCGAGGCACACTGGTGGAGGGGAGACAACAAAATGGAGAGTGGAGGGTGGAATGAGGATGGATGGAAAAAGAGGGGAAGCTGACCCATCCATCCACCCCACCACCTTCCACGGGTCTGCCTGCCCCTGTGCGATCAAGCTTGCTGATAAAGGCGAGGTGAGGCACACTGGTGGAGGGAAAGCGGAGGGGTAGGAGGGTAGAAAGAGAAGAACAAGGCACAAACCTGGAACTGAGCAACTCCCTGGGAACCCCGAAGAGAAGAGAAGAGAAGTACTGAGCTGTATCGCCTGAGTGGCATACAAAAGGACTAAGAAATAACCCACCCTCCCACCTGTATCGCCTCATCTGCCTGTCCACGGTGATTGACTGGCTCTGCACGCCTCCCACGCTGCACAGCTCCAGAACAGCCCCGCCCAGGCCAGGATATACCTCACCTCAGGACTAAACCCCAAACCCATGTTAGACCCTGATATGAACCCTGAGACGCAATGGTGAACCCAAGAGCCCCATCCACCCACCTGTACCGCCTCATCTGCCGGTCCACAGTGGTTGACTGGCTCTGCACGCCTCCCACGCTGCACAGCACCAGAATAGCCCCTGGAAGGAACTAAACCCGAAACCCTGAGAACTCTGAAGCCCCACCCACCCACCTGTATCGCCGCATCTGCCTGTCCACAGTGATTGACTGGCTCTGCACACCGCCCACGCTGCACAGCACCAGAATAGCCCCGTCCAGAACACCTCACCCTGAGAGTAAATCCTGACCTGATAACGAACCTGACAGCCCCACCTGTACCGCTCCCCACCCACCTGTATCGCCTCATCTGCCGATCGACTGTGATAGACTGGCTCTGCACGCCTCCCACGCTGCACAGCACCAGAATAGCCCCGTCCAGGACTCTTAAAGCCCGCTCGACCTCGATGGTGAAATCCACGTGGCCTGGTGTGTCGATGATGTTCACCTGGTGGGGAGGAGAAGTGGGAGGGAGAAAAATGTTTCATTATTAGTACAATTCGTCCGGAACTCTTAAAGCCCGCTCGACCTCGATGGTGAAATCCACTCCATACACTGGACTCACCTGGTGTTCCCCCCACATGCAGTGCGTGGCGGCGGATTGAATCGTGGCGCCCCTCCCCCTCTCCAGATCCATCGAATCCATCTTGACTAGACACACACACACACACCATCATGCCCTCTGACTCCCTCCATGAAATCTCGCCACTCCATACACTGGACTCACCTGGTGATCGCCCCACGTGCAGTGCGTGGCGGCAGACTGGATGGTAATTCCCTTCTCCCTCTCCAAGTCCATCCAGTCCATCTTTGCTGTAATACCCCAAAACCACCCCAAATCGCTCGAAACCACCACAAATCTCACCTGGTGGTCGCCCCACATGCAGTGTGTCGCAGCGGACTGAATGGTGATCCCCTTCTCCCTCTCCAAGTCCATCGAATCCATCTTGGCGCCCACGCCGTCCCGCCATCTGACTTGCATAAATCTCATGAATGAACACAACGGACCCCAAGTCAGCCGAAACACCCCTGAAACCAACCTGGTGGTCGCCCCACATGCAGTGTGTCGCAGCGGACTGAATCGTGATCCCCTTCTCCCTCTCCAGATCCATCGAATCCATCTTGGCGCCCACTCCGTCGCGCCCTCTGACTTCATGAATCTCGTGGATGCGCCCCGTGTAGAACAAGACTCGCTCCGTCAGGGTCGTCTTGCCCGAGTCGATATGAGCTGATATCCCAATGTTGCGGATCTGGGAGAGAGGGGGGTGGACAGGAGGGGTTGCAGGGGGGGGGGGCACAGGTGGAGTTGGGGGGTTATGAGTCCATCCTGGGGCGCACACCATCTCTCCCCCGGACTCGTGAATCTCGTGGATGCGCCCCGTGTAGAACAGCACTCGCTCCATCAGGGTCGTCTTGCCCGAGTCGATATGAGCTGATATGCCGATGTTGCGAATCTGGGGGTTGGGGAAGGGGAGGAAAGGGGGAGGGGGGATGTGCCCACCCACACCGCCACTCTGTCCCGCCCTCTGACTTCATGAATTTCATGGATGCGCCCCGACTTTTGAGTCGACTCAAAAGGGGGAGGGGGGATGTGCCCACCCACACCGCCACTCTGTCCCGCCCTCTGACTTCATGAATTTCATGGATGCGCCCCGACTTTTGAGTCGACTCAAAAGGGGGAGGGGGGATGTGCCCACCCACACCGCCACTCTGTCCCGCCCTCTGACTTCATGAATTTCATGGATGCGCCCCGACTTTTGAGTCGACTCAAAAGGGGGAGGGGGGATGTGCCCACCCACACCGCCACTCCGTCCCGCCCTCTGACTTCATGAATTTCATGGATGCGCCCCGACTTTTGAGTCGACTCAAAAGGGGGAGGGGGGATGTGCCCACCCACACCGCCACTCCGTCCCGCCCTCTGACTTCATGAATTTCATGGATGCGCCCCGTGTAGAACAGCACCCTCTCTGTGAGGGTCGTTTTTTCCGGAGTCAATGTGAGCTGATATGCCAATGTTGCGGATCTGGCAAGCAAGGTAGCGGTGAAGAGCGGTAATGAAGAGGGAGAGAGCAGCAGGACTTCATGAATCTCGTGGACGCGCCCCGTGTAGAGTAGAACAGCACTCTCTCTGTGAGGGTCGTGTTTCCAGAGTCAATATGCGCTGAGATTCCAATGCTGCGAATCTGAGAGAGTGGGAGGAACAGTTGGGTGGGGAGGGGCGTTGAATTCATCTTGGTTCCACTGCCATTGCGCTCGATGGGTCTCGTGGATTCACAACAGGTGCTGCACTTCACCTTGATGGGGCGTGTAGAACAGAACTCGCTCTGTGAGAATCAATCCGTGAGAATTATCCGTGAGAATCATCTGTATAGAGCAGCACTCTCTCCGTGAGAATCATCTTGCCATAATCATCTCTCTCAATGCGTGCTGACATGCCAATGCTGCATACTTGGACAGAAAAGGATAACGGAGCGGGTTGACTTTTAAGTCGACTCAAAAGTCAACTCAAAAGTCAACTCAAAAGACAACTTGAGTTGACTCAAAAGTCAACTTGAGTCGACTCAAAAGTCAACTTGGACAGAGAAGGATAAGGGAGCGGAGGGAAGGTGGGGCTAAGAGGGATAAAAACACACCGATTTAACCGTGCTTCCCCCTCCCCCCCCCCCCCCCCCCCCCCAATGTTTTGAGACGTCTCAAAACACGCCAAGAGGGATAAAAACACACCGATTTAACCGTGCTTCCCCCTCCCCCCCCCCCCCCCCCCCCCCCCCCCCCCCCATTCTCCTCATCCCTCATCCCCATCCCTCACCCACTCACCCTGTCACCCCCGCATCCCCACCCACTCACCTCACCCTCACCTTCCGAAAGCCCTCACCCTCACCTTCCGCTCCTCCCGAGTGATTTTTGAGAATTCTCAAAAAGCCATCACCCTCACCTTCCGCTCCTCCCCATCCTCCCATGCGCTCGCAGCAGCTGGTCTGCAGCTAATTTTTGCACACCTGCGCAAACGGCTCCGCTCAACTTCCTCATCGCCTCAATCAATTCTCCATGCTCTCGCGCCCTCACCCCCTCACCTTTTCAATGCTCCTCGTCATTCTCCCTCCCTCTCGCCCACTCTATGTTCCATCCCCACTCCCTCACTCCCTCACCTTCTCTATGCTCAATCCAGATTCCCGCACTTCCTCACCCCCTCACCTTCTCCATGCCTGCGCGGCACGGCTCCTTCCCCTCCTCCTGCGCGCTCGCAGCTTGCACGCAGCTGTCGTTTTCAAGGGAGATTCCACAACCAGACCAATACTGGGGTTTCCGTTCAACACCCTCACCGCCTCACTCACCTTTGCTCTGCGCACTCGATCCCAACCAAATCCCCTCACCTCACCCTCTCACCTTCTCCATGCTTAATCCCCGATTCCCTCATCCCCTCACCTGCTCCATGCCTGCGCGCCACGGCTCCTTCCCCTCCTCCTGCGCGCTCGCAGCCTGAGACCCATACCGCCTCACTCCTGCCAAATCCGAGCCTCGCACTGCAGGTTCGGCAAACCGAACTCCACCTCCCGAACCAAAAGCCATGGTTTGTAGCGCCGCTAACCGTTTTGCGCCGTGATGAATTCCCCATGCTTCCTGGGGAGGGGTTAAGCTAGGCGCGCTGCAGGTGTTTCGAGAAAGCAGGGCGAAATCGTGCACGGGACCAACGCGTCGATCTAAACCGTTCGATCTAGCACCGCCGCGCCGTGAGGCGAATCGGACGGCCGCGAGGAGCAGGTCCCTGGATCGGCCACGTGCCATGGTGCCACGTCACGCGTAAGGCTAATCGGAGATGATCAGGAGATACCGACGGAGGGAGAAAGGGATGCTGACGCGTTATGAGAAAGGATCTCGTTTTTACGGCGCAAGCGATTCGCGGATTCGGCGACGGTGCTTCGGTACGAGTCGCGATCGGTGCGAGAGGAGATGGGATACGCCGTGGTGATGATCGCTTGGTGTCGGTACTTTCGCAAGCGACAAAGATGACGATCTATCAGAAGGCGAGGCGACGAGTTACGAGGTGAATGATCAGGACGAGGTGGAGTGATAGGACGGTGGTGGTGGAATGGAAGAAGAGGAATGGACGGTCTAGATCCGCAAATGCAGTAGCGTGAGGCGGGGGACAGACAGCACGTGAAATCAGCGGTGATCCAGCGGCCGCGCCTTGCAAAACAGCGAGCCTGAATGCCCGCGGAACTGCAAAAACAATGGAAATCGCGCTGTAGAAGCAAGCCGAATGAAAGAAGAGCGGGGGAGCGGGGGCAGGGGAGGCGGCGTGTTTCTAGATTTGTTTCAACATTTCTACAGTTACAGTTTTCCGCTTTCCAACCGGTTTGTTCAGCTGCTGGACTGAAACTTGAAAATGCAACAGGCGGTGCTAGAAGGGTGCGCAAACTGGACATGTCGATTTCACGACTATTGAATACGTCCTCTCAGAAAGGCACTTTGGCGTTCCAGCCTCGGAAGGCCGGGCTCGGTACGACGGAACTAGCGTGAGGTTTGACAGGGGTTTTGTGAGGGAGAAGCAGAACAGAGAGGTCTAGCAACCAATGTGCCTGGCTTGGCAAAAGGTTCGGAGAATATGGCTTGGAACCAAACGGGTTCACCGCCAGAAGCACGCCATTGGCCAAGAGCGACCCAAAAACAAGCAAGTGGACTCGCTATAGCAGAATGCAACGCGGTATAGACTTCTGAATTTACCACAAATATATGCTGGGATTTTTTTACATGCAGGTAAAGCACGGGTGTACTTGAATCGTTTTGCACCTTGTGGCTTGTAAGGAATTTTCTCGGATTCCTTACTGGGCGCACTGTACGCGTACAACCCCGGTTTTCGGAAAACCAGGCTCGGCCCGCCGACCTCGCCTTCCGAACCCCCATCGCGTCGCCTTAGGGTTACCCAACCCCGAACCTGCACCCAACCATCTCGCGACTCCGCGACCTCGGCCTAGCTAGCATTGCTATATTAGTCCTAGGCCGCACTGTTTTTTCAGACGTTGTAATCACTTCTGCATTATTGAACTCTGCGCACTTTTCTCTTTCACAATTCATAACACCTAGTATCAGAGCTACTTTCCTAGGTTACCCTCGCGATTCTGGGGTAGTTTGTAAAAGAGGAGCAATAGACTTGGTGGGCTGTAAAGCGGTCGGCCTGTGAAATAGATACGATTATTTCACTCCGACTACGATAGCGTTTACGCCTTCACCAAAGTCAGAAAAATCGCTAGCCACCCCTTACCCGTTAGACGAAGCCTGAGGCACATGGAGCACGTCGAGTTCGACAAGCTCATGCAACCGTTCCGGGCGATGCAAGCCAACTTGCAGACCATGTCTGCAGAGGAGGAGCGTCTACGGAAGGAAAACGCCGAACTACACCAGACGCATGGTGAAGCGCGCCAGGAGTCGCCTGTCGTGGACGACGCAAGTAGCAGCACCACGCTAGACGAGCGGGTCTGGAGCCAGCTGGAGGGCTCCATGGATGCGGAAGATGCAAGGCGGGCACAGCAGCAGCAGTCACCACAACAATCGAGTGCAGCGCCGACACGTGCAGCAGCGACAACTACGGCGACACCAGCAGCAACGAGGGCTTTGACAACTGTTAAAATTAAGCCGACAAACCCGCCCCCGTTTAACCCAAGTGACAAGTTCGTCACTGTTTCTGCATGGTTGTTCGGCGTGGAGGTGTTTTTTAATGCTGCTATGATTAATGACGATGCCACCCGCATTAATTTCGTAGTATCACTGTTGAGAGGACCTGCGTTGGAGTGGTGGCGACGAACGCTGGAAGACGAAGGGACTTCGGCAGGAATAGCACGTGCGAACGACGGGACTTCGACACCTGTCACGCAACGAGCAGCTTCGATTTTCGGGACGGCTACGATACGCACATGGAAGGAGTGGGGCGCCGCCCTGCAAACCAGGTTCGAGCACATATCCGCCTCGGACTCTGCTCGCATGAAGCTGCGTGCCTGGAAGCAGCTGACTTCGGTCCAAGACTATACCAGCAATTTCTGCAACTTGGCGGACCAGGTGGACGTCATGAGTGATGCGGAGCCAGATCGCTACGTGGCGGGCCTGAAATACGAGATACAGTACGAGGTCCAACGAACGAGGCCACGCAGCTTTAACGACGCCGTCCGGGAAGCCGAGTCAACGGATGCGCTGATGCAGAGGGCAAGATCGAGCTCCCGGGAGGGCCATCGATTTCGTGGATCGACTCATCAGCCCACGATCAATGGCGTGGATGCGCCAAGCCGAGCCATCGGGCCGTGCTTTGCATGCAACCAGCTGGGCCACCTGAAAAAAGACTGCCCGAAGTTAAAGCAAGGGAAGAAGAACGACGGAGAAGGGTCGGGAAAAGATGTGAGTCAGTAGCAGAAGGGCGCCCTGCTGACGAGACCCTGTCGCCCGACAATCACCATCCACACCGAGTCGTGGTACCGATCAGAGCTATCGACTGCACTCGCATGAATAACGTGGGTGAACACGTGGACTACCCTGTGCTGGTGGTGGGGAGGGTTAACGGTTATAAAATAAAAATATTCGTTAATGGTGGGGCGAGTCACAGCCTCGTCAACCTGGCAACGGCCAAAAAAATTGGGGTGAAGCTGAACAAATATCTGCCGGAGATCGATGCAAGATCGGTGGATGGGACACCGCTGGCCATCCGAGATGAAGCGCGAAAAATTCGGATCAAGTGTGGCGATAATTTCGGGTTCGGCATGAAGATGCTGGCAACGACTTTGGACGGCTGCGATGTGCTGCTGGGGCGAGATTGGCTGCAGAAATTCAATCCGACAATCGACTGGACGACAGGAGCGTGTGCCGTGCGAGGAAATGCAGGGCTGACGACGCTTCCGAAATGGACGGAGCCGGAGCCGGTGACGACACGTGTCAACGCCGTCACCATGCGGCGAGCGATCAACATTGGGGCTCAAGTCTACGCTGTACACCTGTACGAGGTAGCGGCCTCCAAAAAAATCGCAGACATAGACAAGCTCTGCGCGACAGTCCCTGAGGAGCTAGCGAGCATCATCCGGAAGTATCCCGAAATTTTCGCGGATGACCTGCCTGATGGCCCGCCCCCTCAACGTCCGGAAGACCATCGGATCCAGCTGGAACCCGGCGCGCAACCCACAGTGCGGACACAGTGGAGGCTCAGCCAACCAGAGCTCGAGGAGCTGCGAATCGAGCTGGATTACCTGCTAGCCAAGGGATTCATATGGCCAAGCACGTCGCCATTCGCAGCGCCGATACTGTTCACGCCGAAGAAGGACGGGGGCCTACGCATGTGCATTGATTATCGGGTCCCAATTAAATCACGTTACCCGATCCTGCGAGCGGACGATCTGCTGGATCAACTTTGCGGAGCCCGTTACTTTTCGAAGATTGACTTGCGAGGCGGCTACCACCAAATTCGCGTGTTCGCCGACGACTGCCCGAAGACAGCCTTTCGCACACGCTACGGTAGTTACGAATGTACAGTACTGCCGTTCGGACTAACCAACGCGCCATCAACGTTCCAGCTGACTATGAACGGGGTCTTCAGGGACATGCTGGACAAAAAGGTCATCGTGTATCTCGACGACATTCTGGTGTACAGCACGACGGAAGCAAAACATTTGTGGGATTTGGAGGAAGTGTTCCACCGACTTCACGCAAACCAATTAATTACGAAGAGCTCTACGTGCGAATTCTTAGAATCGGAGTTAGAGTTCCTGGGTCACGTGGTTTCGGGAGACGACATCAAAATCGAACCCCGCAAAGTGGACGCCATCGCTAAGTGGAAGCCACCGACTAACATTACCGAGTTGCAATTTTTTTTTTGTTTCGTTAACTACGTTCGTCGTTTTGTACCCAACATGGCAGGGATTACCAAGCCACTAACCGGCCTATTGCACAAGGCCAACGAATTTCTGCGGGGGGAGAAAGAGCAGTCCGCCTTCGACACACTCAAAAACATTTTGAGTTCACCCCCGGTGCTCCGCCTCGCCGACCCATCTCGACCGTTCGAAGTCATTATGGACGCCATAAATTTCGCTGTCGGCGCCGTCCTACTACGGGACTTCGGCAAACGGCTGCAACCCATCGCCTAATCACGCAAGATGCAGCCACCCAAGCGCAACTACCTGGTCCACGACAAATAAATGCTGGCCATCATCCACGCATTTCGTACCTGGCGCTGCTACCTCACGGGAGCCGACGTGACAATCCGAACCGACCACAAATCGCTACAATACATGCGCACGCAACCGACACTCAACCCGCGACAAATCCGGTGGTAGTTGGACTTCCTCGAGTCCAATTTTCGGTACACCATCACGTACAAGAAAGGCGCCAACAACATTGCTGACGCCCTCGCCCGACCATCCATGCAGACCGCGGCGGTACTAATCGCCCACACCAACCCGATGCTGACAGGACTATTCACCCACGGCTACAGGATCGACGTGTTTTTCAAGAACCGGCTCCAACAGGCTACTACGCAACACGGCAATTATAACCTAAAAGCTGGTACGAACCGGATTTGGGTGCCCGCCTACCAG